CATAATTCCACAAAGGATCAAATTTCTTAATGTGTGAAAAATATGTGCAGTTCAACAGATGATTCCTTCAGCATAGATTATTCACAAATGATAAAAATAGAAAGTAGTCCTCTGTGAGTATATATATAAAAAAAAAATCCGCATTTAAGTACGAATAGGGAGATTTTTACACAAATTCAATGCTTTCCAGAAATCAATTGGTATGTCAAAAATGTAATAATGAAAAGGCTGAGGTTACGCTGAGAAAGAAGGATGTTTATTGCAATGGATGTTTCCTAATTAGTGCAACTCATAAATTTCGAGCGACCCTAGGAAGGTCGAAAATTGTGAGGCCAAGCGATACTATATTGGTTGGCCATAATGGCCAAGCTGGATCAACAGCTCTTCTCAATTTAATTAAGGCAGGGATGGACGAGAGTGTTCACAAACGTTTGATTTTTAACGTAAAACTTCTCTACATTGATGGTATTTTTTTCATCATTTTCTGACTTTATTATTTGTATTCTTCATTAATTGCAAGCACATTGTTGCAACCTCTTGTTTCAGATGGGCTTATCATGGGTCAAAGCATGGCAGAAAGACAAATTAAACTGACGAATATTTACAAACAGGTTGAAGCCTTAGGCTTTCCAGCTTATGGTATTGTAATAAGTGAGGCTATGAGCTCTGATAATTTATCAATATCATTCTTGGAGGATAAAACACGTTTGAATGATCAAAGCAAGGGAGATGAGGAGCTGTTAAAAATGTGGAATAAACTGACAGATGAAACTTGTAAAAAAGATTTTCTACTAAAATTACGAGAAAAGGTAATGGTGATGGCTGCAAAAATTCTCAAGTGTCAAAAAATTTTTCTCGCTGACGATTCGACTTCCTTAGCAATTGCAATTTTAAGTAATGTTGCGTTAGGAAGAGGTGCACATTTGTCATCAGACTGTGGTTTTATAGATAATAGACATAAGGATGTGATGATTTTACGACCTATGCGCGATTTTAGCCGACAGGAGCTTTATTATTATCTAAGGATACGTGATATCAAGTGCATTGATGAGAAAGAATTGAAAGACAATCTCCACCCTTCTATCCAAAAATTGACTGGAAAATTCGTGAGAAATTTGGAAGATGAATTTAGTGGTACAGTCTCGACGATTTTCCGAACGGGTGAAAAAATTGTTAGCGGTAAAGAAAATAATAGAAATAATATTTCAACCGAGCAAGTGTGTGCATTTTGTAATGGTTGTCTAGATACGATTCCCATTGATGGTTTTACTTCAAGTATTGATGCTAAAAACTTTTCAAAAATTGTATCTGCGGAGAGTGCAAATGCCGAATGGAATTTGGCCAAATTGATGAAAATATCGCCAGAAAATAAAAAAAATGTACAAGAGTATAGCTGTCAGGATTGTAGGTGTAATAATATGCAGGCACTTAATCATAATATTGAATATGAACAAATTAGACACTTATTATGTTATGCCTGTCAATCAATTTTCAATGATAATTTTACTCTGCACGAACTACCTTTTTACGTGGTAAAATCTGTTAGTAGAAAATTACGCCTCGAGGATATTGCTGGCGAAATTCAAAAATTTTTGTTATGAGTCAGGTGTACTAACGAAAAAGATTTTTTTTTTATCAGTATATAATTTGTAATATAATTTCTATACGAGGTGGAATGAATAAAGAATATTTTGACCTATTTAAAGTAGGCTCATTGTTTCAAACATTTACTTGTTTTATTTGGCTAACTTCTCTTTATATGTTACTTGAAAAATCTCCATGCTTACAACATTTTTGTAATATTCCATGAGTTTTGCACAATTGTCCATTGATAATAACTTATCATGTGAGATATGCTGCAATATCTAGTGTCAACGGAAGTAACATTTTGCAAATCTGAGGACAATTTAAGGTAAAACTGGCAATTATGACAGTTTATAGCGAGTCTAAAAATATAATTGAAATGATTCAATCATTTGATTCCATCTAGTCGTTGTTCTCCACCGAAATTGATCGACTGTGCTGGTAAAGTTATAAATTCAATAGACCTACCGCATTACTGGGAATGGACATTAAAAGATGTATCAGAATGGCTTGAAAATGATGTTCAACTGCCACAATACAAGGCTAGTTGAAAAAATAAACTTAATAATTGCTGTTATATGATTTTTGCCTCTTTAAATTATCATTATTACTCAGATCATGTAATAAAATATTTATTTTTTTCATTCATCAGGATACCATGGAAATGAATTTTATTAATGGCCGACGCCTATGTTTTCTCCAAGCCCACAAATTACTGAAAATGGGAATTCACGATTTTCACCATATCAAGGTATAATTATAAAAGTATCAGTCATTATTTATACTTGGGCATATATATGAATGAATTACAGAAAATAATGGATGCCATCCGAAAGTTATTTAATATAGAAAAGGAAAAATTTCACCGAAGTATTAGTCTTCCCATCAAGTACCCTATGACTTTATATCTTGAATATCGAATTCCTACTGGACCAACCAGAGAGGGTACAAACAGATTTGATTTTTTCAAGAAAACCTCCATCCTTGGAAATCGAAAGGATTTCCAAGAAAATAAATTCCAACTTAAAACAGATGATTATCCAATTGTTCTATTTGGTGCTATTAAACGTAAAAGTATCTATACTAGAGTGGAATTTTCTAGATCCAGTAGTACCAGCGGCAATGGGCATAGTAAATTCATTGATTTCCTCCTTCAATGAGATGTGGTACTAGAAATTTAATGCATATCATAAAAATGCAAATCTCTTTCTCTATTCATATGACAATAATATCAATCAATGAACTTTATGGTAAATAGAAAATAAAAAACGATGCACATGTTCAATCAGAAAATAAATCATCTCCAGAATGTTGGTCAGTTATATGTATACGAGTGATTTTTCCATCAGGAGCCTCCTGAGATGGCGATTGGGAAAATTTCAGAACAAAAGATTCATCACTCTCATTATTTGATCCATCAAGTCCTTCTAATGAATAGCTTTCGTTTTTACACAAATTATGTGTTTTACAAGCTACAGATTTATGAAATTCAACACGTGGATCTTCAATATTCAATGATATTGAATTATCCTGTATTTTTGCAAATTCCGTTTCACTCTCATCCGTAGATTGGTCATAAATGGCAGAACGACATTCCACTTTTGTCTTCAATTCTCTATTTTTTTTCTTTTTGCTATTTAACAGGACAATAAGTTTCTTGTACAATTCTTCCTCCATATGATTTTTGGCCTCTATCATACGGTTTAGCGTTCTTTCCAATTCCTCCGATCTTATCCGTAAATTATTATTTTCCATCCTCATATTCAATGTGTTATTTTCCGTATTCAGACAACACGTTAGAAAATTCATAACCAAGTCGGAAAATACAACAATATTGTTTACATGTTGACATTCAATCAACCCACGTTTCCATGCTTTTTTCTTCCATTGGAAAGTATTGACCTTGATGGAAAATTCTACCCCTTCATCTTCTCCTGCCAATTCTCTCTTGATATCCTCCAAATATTGTTCATCCGTTCTACTGAAATTCCCTGCTGGCTGTAGTAAATTTTTTATGCATATCTGTGATTACAAAAAAAAAAAGAAAACATTTGGTAGGAGCTAATTAGTATATTATGCAACAAGTGCGTGATGATTGTTTTGGCATGTGGGAGGGTTGTTACGATCACGCACCTATGACATAAACAAAAATTTTCAACACTTGCATAAAAATAAAGTATTCTATTTTGATAAATATACCTCTCCTTTCAGTGGCTCTGAACCTTTGCGGAGAATGAGAATTTGAAGATCTTTTTCATCCCACTTGGCCAAAAGCGTCATGAATTCCTTGTCTAAACTATTTCTCACTTGACATGCCGTTGTGAGATTATCCATGACGAACCTAGAGCTAGAATCAGAGATCATAATCTGTGCTGGAAGCGTTACCAAAATAAAAACAAACTGCTACTCAATTTTCATTATTAATTCGTAAGTACTTTAGAATATTGTTCATTCTGTAGAACTTTTTATTTATGAAGTATCCATCGAAGTGTCAATGTGTCAGCTGTTGAGTTCAATTAAACATGGCGGCTCCTCCCCCTCCATTACGATGTGACCCAATTACTCCAAAACGATTTTCATCAAGTAATGTAGAATCAATCAATTGGAGAAGAGTACAAACCATTCTGCATCATTTCATTAGACACTTGAATGGCTGTCATTGAAATTGCAAAAACATGGGGGCTAAGTTCCGGTCAAAATTTTAATTATTTCAAAAAAATAATAATTAAAACGGCTAGACACCCCAGAATTGCGTGTGGCGCCTTCCCTCTCTTGGGTTACAGTACTACGATGCCGCTGGGGTCACTCAAAGGGCCCCAGAACTGAGTCTCTCCTTTAGTCAATCCTCTTTGAGTCAGAGGACGAGTCCCCCCCACAGATACCTGCCTCACAGCTGCCCGCAGTATGAAATTATTTAAAAAAACTCAATTAACGAAGGCTCAAATCATCTTTGTCACGATATTTGGTAGCTTGAGTGGACTTTATATCTGGCTACCAACCATACAGGAAAACCTTGCTAAAGAAAAGGAAGAATTAGAAAGGAACCGAAATGAGGTAACAATCAATGAAAGCTGCCGCATTCTCCTAACCTATATTTGCATAATTTTTATTTTTAATGATTTTTATTGGTCGACAGCGATAAGAAAATAAATTCTCAATGGAAAATATCAGCATTACGCCACCTTCCAAAATTACCATTTGAATTTTCCAAACTTCCGAAGGGATTATGGATAATCGCCGGAATTTTTGCATTCGGATCTTTCTACCGGTTAGTGATGAAAATATTATACTTGAATTTGATTCCTCTTGGAATATTGTTTTGTTTTTTTGAGATTTAGAGAAATTTGTAGAGATGTCGATGTAACACAGCATTGTTTAAAAGGTAATATACAACTTTGGTGTTATTGCAAATTACATAGACAATTTTTAATATTATTTTCAGTTGGATTTACATACCCAGGCGACGTCGATACAAGATGAAAATAAGTGAAGCGTATGCCAATATTATTTATGAAAAGGAGAAACTACGAGGGAAATAGAAAACAAAACATATATATTGCTAGCTGTGTATATTTCAATTCATAGACTATACAAGTGAATAAAAATTACGGTTAATGGATATTACCCGAGCTATTCTTCATATTTTAGGAAAATGTGCAACGATTTTGGTTGGCGTTACGTATTTTATTATTTGGTATTCTTGAATTTTGTATTATAGATTGGAATAAGGTCCACAATGAGTCTCCAATCGCTGAAGTACAGGAAAGCGAGACTTCCAACTCCTGCATACAGAGATGCTGACGGGATCCTGAAAGCATTGTAAATAGTTAAAAATTGATGAGCAAAAAAATATGCATCTTGAGATGCTTTATTCCACATCATCATTGATTCATAAATCATATATATACATTTCATATATTTCTATCATCATGACAATGAATGGGAACGATACCATAAGATCTCTCCTATGCGTTTACAAATAATCTTTTGCTTCGCTTGTTTTGAACGTTCTCAAAATTTCTGAAATCACAGATGAATTTCTCCAAAAAATGACAAATATGGAACATCACGTTATATCACTCCATAGCGGGAAAAATTGATGAGATGGTTAGAGAGTAGGTACACTTTCAAATTTTTTTAAAAGTTTGTACTGCACGGATAACCACGTATTTTACTAAATGTTTTCCTCCCTCTCTCCGTTCTTAAAACTCTAGCTCATTGTCCTTAATGGCGAAAAATAAATGCGGGAATAGGCTAGAGCTGATGAGAAGACAAATAAGAATAAGAAAAAAAATTTTCGTGACAATGAAAAAGGACATGTTGTGTGAAGTGAGGTTATTGTTGTTTTCCTACGCAAAATTGAATAGAACTTTATGAAAATAATTAGATCGAGAAGCATTTGTTATGAATATAATTGTGTGTGTTCGATGGAAATTCCAAATTGACTTCTCTATATTTTTAATATTTATATTTTTGGATGATTTAGTGGACAATCTCATTTAAATGTGTGCAATTTTAAATCTGCAAGATTAAAGGTCAGTTTTACTATTATGTTTAAGGTATCCATTTCATATCACTCTCTATACACAATCAAATTTCTTTCCAATGAGAAACAATCAAGACGAAAAAAAATCTGTTTTTTAAAGATAAAAATGAAAAAAAAAATGAGAAATTTCTCTCCTATTTGGGAGTAAAAATCGAGAAATACCTTCATTGTTGAATAGTTACGTAATAAAGCAAACTTTGGAAAGACTATTATGGAAATTTTAATTAGTCACACCCCTCTTCATTTTTCATAATACGGTTAATATATAATTCAAATGAATGTATACAGATGGTCTTACCATTTTGCAGCTACTTCTAGAGTTCTTTTCCCCAGAACCATTTTCGCTTATTGCAGAATACTTATAGATGTAACTTGGTAAAGTTAGTCTTCTCCTTAAAATCGTAAAACAAATATTTTCGAGTCAGCTTATGAACTATAATATCGTCAATGATGCAAAATATTTGCAGATATTAACACAACCTACAAATATTATTCGCTCATAAATTTCCTTTTGATTACTATTCTTCTTTTTAATCCAAAAGGGTTTTATCCACTCACTGTGATATAGGTAAGTACCAAATCTTCGCTAATTATAACGGAACTTTATGCTGTGATATCAGCTGCTCGATGCAAAAAATATAAGGGAGGTTGCTGCGGCTTGTGCTTTTGCTTCAAGAAGAAAAATTTCATAGCGGTAACGCAAGAACTAAGCCAGAGGCTGTGGCAGTGTGGCGTAATAATCGAAATGGCGCCAGGTTCAATTTGGATGTTTGAACGGTTATGTCAAAGAGGATTGACGTAAGTAGAGGCTCAGTTGTGGGGGTTTGCTTGATCCCAGCGGCATCGTACCCGTAGGTTGTTCGTGTAAAATTAACACTCACCAATTTTCTTCATTTCAACAAAGACATATGGATAAATTGAGGGAATATATTTTTATGACTTAATTGTGAAAAAAAAGAATTATGCAGATATTATGCAGAATTTTCAAAAAAAAAATTCGTGAATAATGTATTTCTATAAGATTTTAAAACAATATTTTTACAATTTAACAATTTCCAAATTCTTCACTTTTTTTAAATTTGATGTGTTATCATTACATGTGTTATGTGACAAATACACTACACACTAATAGGACAGCCCTCATCCGACTTTCTACCTGTAATTTAAACACTAGATTCATAGATGACAATTCGTACAATTTTTTTATGTTGATTGTGGATTGCAGATTCTTCAATTTCCTTCAGTACAGCCTGAACAGCTTCTTTCCACTCTACATTCTTCATATCTTTACCATTTGGTTTTCCAAGTTTTGGCAGTGATACAACTGCCAATACTTTTTTCAAATCTAATTGCAACGCTGACATATCACCTCCGGCTTGTTCTCCCATTTTTTTTAGCGCCTCGATTAAAGGCCCCCGCAGAGCTTGCAATCGTTGCCAAGATTGATTGTATTGCATCCTTATGAGTTCAATTATAGTGCCTGTTAGAGCTAAACCCACAAGAATGTACAAAGAGCACAGAAGCATGTATTTTGGTTTCTCTGAAAATTAAAAGATATTTGTTTGTGTACACTGATAAAAAAATTTGGTCAAGTTTTTAAGGTAGTACTCCTGAGCTTTTTTACTCATGTGCATTTTGGCATTGTTTTTCCATAGTGATTTTCAGGTTTTCGAATTTGGGGAGTATGCAATACCAATTCTTAAAGGCGCATCAGAATACGCACGTTAAAATAGCTCGAAAGATAAAAGTCATTTGAATAACTTGGCATATTTACGCCTGAAATTTTTTTATAAATTTCCAAAATAAAACTATTTGACAGCCTCAAATACTGGACTCGGATTGCTTGTAATTCGAGTTTTAAAAAATAGAAAAAACATGGAGTACTTTGAAGTTGGTAGTGGGACTTACTTGGTACAAGATCTCCAAAACCAATGGTTGTCATTGTTACAAACCAAAAGTAGAAGCCGTCGAAAAAATCCCAATCATCTTCCCATAGCATAAACATCGCAGCTCCACAGGATAAATAAATGAAGAGAAGTGCAACTGCAGCCAAAGCTCCTATACAAAATGTCTTTTGACCATTTATCAATGTTGAATTTTCTAAACATCTAAATTATGGTGTAAAGACGACATAGGTCAATATGTGAAGTGAAGTCAATAAAAACGGTGGGAAGAAAAGTGGAAAATTCAGGCTGTCATAACAATCCGAGGAACAACCTTTACCTAAAGACCTGCGACCTGTTATATTCTTCGGAATCAAATGGGTTGTGAAGGGAGGGAATTTGGTTCTTATTCTGTCTCCGAGGTTTGTCACTATTTCAGCAAAAAGTTTACCCCATGCGGCAATTGCAGTCAGTGTCAGTGGTATTCCAACGAAAGCATAAAATATGCAAAATACCCTCCCCCAGTGGGTGGAAGGGACAACATTTCCGTAGCCTGAAATACACACAGACATTCCATTTTCCGGCCAATAAAAACAAGATTGGAGATAATATATAGAAAAAAAATGTGGAAAATTTTACCGATTGTTGTGAGTACTGTACTGGCAAAAAATATTGCTTGAAGTATACTCCATCGCTCGGTGATGACAGATGATCGTTCAATGATGTTTTCATTGTTTGAATTTTTTGGAGAGTCAAATGCTGGATTGATTATAAATCCTCCCTGAGCGGCTTTTTGCAGTGTATTTTCGTAAGAACACAACTCTAATTCAATCTAAAATGACAAACAAATACAAACAAAGTTGAAAAAAAAAACTCATTTTTTATGTTGGTAATTGTATTTTATATATTTATATGATATTTGTAAAGAGTAAAATTAAATTTTTAATTACCACGTCCAGGAGATTAATTGTGTTTCGATCATCCAGAATTTGATTAACTAGGTGATTTCTCTCCGCTATGATTTCAGCTCTAATTCTTCCCAATCTCAAAATTTCTGAAGGTAGTTCTAATTGCCTAAAAATCTAGAAGGAAAATTTCAACTTAAAGAGAACAATGGAAAATTCTGAATGAACGAGAAATGTAAAAGCCATTCTCTATCTAACAACATTTCGTAATCATAATTATTTCTTTAATTAACAAAGATTGAAAAATAGCATTAAAATGACCATTTTCACCAGCCCAACATTTGGATCAAAGATATCGAGATTGCATTCGGAAAAATATATATGCCATGAAGTACCCTACATGTAAGTAATTGGCATTAAACAATTCTTGAGATATTCGAAAAAAGGCCAAAATAACAGCTAGCTGTTTCTAAGGAAATTAATGTAAAATCATTAGAATCAGCAGAATTAGAAACAGTAAAACTGGAATGAATACAGAGGTTTCATTGAGAAGCGACAATATTATTTTCGAAAATTTCGAGGCCACATTCTGTACAATATTTGGAAGAATGTTCCATATATACCTCGGCTACAATAAACAGTTCTGCTATTACATTCGTTTTTCTCCTCTTTCATTGGCAGTGCTCAACTGCTATATTTGAGTGATAAAATTGGTAATTTTGGAATAATGCCAGTTGTGAGAATTCCGTGCTAGATATCTTCCAGCTGGAAACACTAATTTCTTGATTGTCGACTATCCGTTTAACTTTATAAGCGATCTTACATTAGGAGATGCGGTAGTGTCTCTGAACAAGTACGTACCAACCGAATTTCTACCCGTCGACTGTCTAGCTACCCCACTCCTATACGCCTATGTTAAATGACGGAACAATAAAATTAACATTTTTCCAAAAATATTTTCAATTAGATTGTTTTTCTTACTTTTAATATCCTCAATTTATTGATTACCTTTTGAAAAAATCTATTCTAACGACTTTTCTTAGTTTTTCATACAAAAATGGCAGTTTTTGTTTTTTGCCAAAAGTTGAGGCATTCCTTTCAGAGGTTATTGCTAATATCTCTTCATCTTTCATATTTTTAGTAAAGGGATTTCTGGGAACCGGTGAATTAGATTGACCTGAAAAAATATACCGTTTTTACATTTGATCATTATGCGTGCCCCTATTTTTCCAAATTTTTTAATAAACTTTTGTGAATATTTCCAAACTTTTACTGAGAAAAACGGAAAATTTTTCCACGGTCATAAAACTTCAATAGACTTTGAATAATAATAAAATTCAAAAACAGTAGATTTTTTAAAGCGGAGTTAGTAACTGTGATTTGAGCAGTGGAAAATTTCCGATTTGATAGATTATTCGAAAAAAAATAATGTCAATTGATTAATAAAGTTTTAAACAAATTTTATAATACCAAACCACCGAGAGCAGTATAGATCATCAAAGTTATCAAAAGAGCCATCGGTCCAGCGAGATGTTTTAACTGATGAAGGGTTTGTTCACTAATTAGCTGTTGCATGTTTCCCACTTGTTTCTTATCTATATCACCGAGTAATCCAGAACTTTCACGAGGCATTTTTACATAATTTTTTTATTTCTGGAAAATTTAAAATATCAATTTTTTATAAATAGCATTATTTGAAAGGGAGTAGTGCCTATATCATCTTTATTATAATGGTGTATATGTTAAAATATGTGTTAAAAACTGAACATAAATTATTTATCGGTGTTTAAGAAATGTTCTATCATTGTAAATCTACTGAATCTGATATGAAGCGTCCGCGGAAATAGATTGAGATTGAGTGAAAATCACAAGATTCTCGATGGTGGGGAAAAAAAAAAAAAAAAGAAAAGAGTCGAGAGATGTTCCTTTCTTATCGACTCTCTTATCGACAACTTATCTGATGATCTTTTCCTCGTACTCTGCTCGACTTACCGGTAAGCTCTCTGAATTTATGTTGAAACTCGCACAGCTTTCTCAGGGCTTCTGAATAATTCGCCGTTCTCAATGCCCAAGCTTGAATTAAGATGGAGTAATTCATAATGAATTAATAAAAGGTAATAATTGGTAATATCTTTTATTATTATTTTCCATTAGTAGCCCGATAAAATTCCACATACACGCGTACGCAAGAAAAATATAAATTTTTATGTGTTCCAGAAAGGAATTCGCCTATGTTTCCATTTGAGAAGATTCTTTAGGGCTTCCCCATCATTTTCTCTGCATTTCTCTATCACAGCTAGATATGACCTTTTCCACTCTTCTCCTAGAGTCACGAGCAAGCAAAATTCTATTAAAAAAGAATTAATCTAACAAAATGTGAGGAAGAAAATGGAAGAATAACCCCCACAAAAAAAAACGGTCATTGAGCGGTGGAATATACAATGAGGAAAACTTTTTTTTTTTTTGCAAATACATCTTCTGCTGTAATCGCTATAAACCTTTGGACATGCCGGCGAGAAATCGAGCTTTATCCATTTCATTAATCATTTCCAGATTTTTGTATGATTCAAAGGCGAATGTTAAATGTGGGGTGGCAGAACTCGGTCGACCCTTAAAATAAAATAATATTTTTGACTAAAGGATGATGTCGAATGATGTATGGAATTTTTTTTATACATATACATAAGTGATGGATTTTCCTTTGCTTGTGCAAATGTTTTATGTGATGCCTTCACACCAGTATCGGTTGAAAAGATTTAATTATTTGAGAAATTCATCAATTATTTTTTGAACAATGAATGAAAAGAGTAAAAATTAATACTGTCATGATATATAATTACTGAAATATAGTTATACAATATTAACTCTAATATTGCAAAACAAAATTGAAATGGCAGAAATGAAAAAGCCTATTCTAATACAAGGGAAATTACTAATCATTCACCTCTTCCAATTCAAATTTTCCAAGATAATAATGAGCCTCTGCAAGTCTGGCAACCAATCCCGATTGCTCTGCATGTTGTTTAAATAAAATCAAGTGCCACTTTACTCTCGCAGAATCTTCAAGTACCTGAAAACGTTGGGACATGATTAAAAAAATAAATTCTCTATTGTACTACAATCTCATTTTAAATAACTTGGTAAACAGCTGCAAGCTGTTTATGAGCCTCACAGAGCCCGTTCGGATCTGATATTCTCTCGACTCTTGCTAAATATTCTAAAAACTTGTCAAGAGCTTCGTCAATGTTTCCTGCAGACATGTAAGTAACTCCTGCTTCGTATAAACTTCTGGCAAGATGTTCTTGACTTCCAGCTGTCAATAAATAAATCTTTCAAATGGTTCAATTCAAGTACACAGTGTGACCTTTGCTGGGGAATAAATATATGAATAATTTCCGGCGAAGGCACGATATTCGGGACTTTAGTTTAATTCAAGATATTAATGATGAGGGAGATCTCTATAGAATGGAATTTATTATATAAAAATCTGTGATAATAAGATTATCATTATCATAAGATTATCAACACAAATATCACAAAAAAAAATAGGGGATAACTCTAAACGTGCAAAGGGGGAGAAGTTAGGGAGGCCTACTGGAGAATTATGAATTAATAGGGGGTTTCAATTACAAAATTCTGCCTCGTCACAACAGGATAGCTAATGCAATCAACTCACAATCAATAGCTCTTTCAATCGCCCTGGTTACAATTTCAACTGCGAATTTTCGATGAGTCTTCCTCGATTGTTGAGCTAGAGCTATTAATACTTCATTCAAAACAAGATTAATATCCCTGAATAAATATCGGGGCTGATTTTTCAGGATTTTATAAGCATCCCAGGGTTTTCCTTGAGATCCTTTTCGAGCTTCATCGAGTAAAGTAAACGCACTCATGGGATCCCTCACTAACCAAAAAATGCAAAATTATTATTATTATTATCAACAATATATTGAATAAAATTTTTTAAAATAAAAGTACTGTCAAGCAAATATTTAAGAGGTCAACAATCATAAGAAAAACTTTAAACAAGAGTAAGTTGTGAGTTGAAAGAAAAAATAAATAAAATACTTACTCCCATGAAAAAGGAAATTCCCATAAATATATTTGATAATATTTAATATTTCTCCCCCATCTTCCACGATTTCACTTGAAATTTTCAGAGCACTTTTGAAGAACTCATCAGCAATCCAAAACCATTCTGGCATTAATGATTGGAAGAACAAAGCGATTTTCAACATTTGCATTGCTTGTTCGATTTTCTCATCTTGAATAATTTTCAAAAGAAATGTATTTATCAAAGATGTATGTATAATGTAGGGATATTTTTCGTTGAGGTTGCGAAAAAAATGTGTAATAATTTTACTTCTTCGTTTTGCCAATTCCGCATTTACTAATCCATACTGAATTTTTTCAATGAGGTGACGTTGCTCCTTGAGTTTTTTAATTTTCGGAATTTCTAGCTCATTATCATGTTCATAAAGGCGCTTGAGGTAATCCTTCGCCTCGAAAAATCCCGCTTCGTTGAGCTCCAGTAAAATAGATTCATGATAGGGTAGGCGATACCTTCCCAGAAAATAATACAAGTATAAATGATTATTTTAATATCTAGACTAGATATAATATAGGAATTATGAAAAAAAAACCTTCTAACACCGGTGGATGTGAGTGCAGGTAATTGGGCCTTGAGATGAGCTTTCACTGGGCTGATTTCCTCTTTTCTAGCGCGTGTTAGAGTTTTTATTCTCGGTGCAGACATAATGTTTGATTTAACGACGAAACGTCCATTTTCATCACAAGATTTGCGCATTGGATTTCTTTTCTTGCTCATATTGAGATGAGTAAGTAATAATTTGATAGATTAAAGAAAAAAAATTGCAAGTTCAGCTGTTCTCAACAAAAGAAGCAACATAAATATCGAATATGTGTATCATATTGATATATGACAAAAAAAAAGTGAAAACAATATATCCTTTTAACAAGTTATGACATGTAAAAAGGCAAAAGGATAGCCCAAGTCTAATAAGCCTATTGTTACTCAATCACAGAAAATGACCATAATTTTTAAAAGCAAACTCCAACTTTATTCCATATGACAGATAAATAACTCAGATTTAACAATAAAATAAATTCTAAATACCTTGTACGATCACTCGGGAGAAAATAATAGTAAAATAAAATGATTAAATTAAACGATTTGATATCTATACAAGCATGTACAATGATTGGCACCTATCTCCAACATCATAATATAGGACAGAAAAAAATTGAATGAGTAAAGAAGAACCCGACCAACGAATTCCCGAGTGAAAATTTTCACCTAGTTTAAATAACTTGAGGGATTTGAAAGAATAAAGAAAGCCTCACGAACTATGACTATGCCATATTTATCCCTTTAGGCTTTGACAGTAGGTTTCCTTGACTGAAGGGTTACTCTGAAGCCCTCGGCCCGCTTGAGGATGATGTCAGCCTGAAGCCTGAAATCCGACTCTTTGACATCGGATTTGACACGGAAATTTCTCAGTATAGTGGAGAGAAGGATCTTTAGCTTGAGCATAGCGTATTTACGTCCTACGCAAGAACGTGGACCTGCTGAGAATGGGACGAATGCATAGTAATGACGATTTGCCGTTTTCTCAGGGAGGAAATTGTCTGGGTTGAAGACGTCTGGATTTGGATAGATGTGGGGCTGGCGGTGCATCTTGAAAGTTCCAACAACGACTGTACAGCCCGCGGGTACAGTATAATCACCAGATGCTGCATGATAAAGATAAATAAATGTTCACTTCAAATCAAGAGTGGACGAGAGACATGGCAGAAAATAGAAAATAGAAAATAGAAAATAATTCATAAATCTTACCAAGCTTGAGATCGCTCTGAATCTGACGAGCGATGATTGGTACTGGTGGGTACATACGAAGAGTCTCCATGAGACAACGTTCAAGATATTTCATCTCCAAAGTATCTTGGAAGGTGACTGGTCTGTCACTGTCTCCAAAGATTTCATCCAACTCCTGGATCACCTTCTCTTGAATATCTGGATGGCATCCCATCATCGAGAGGAAGAAACTAGAGCCAGCAGCGGTGGTATCGTGACCCTACAATAAAAAATATAAACAAAAATTTATTGATAATTTATCTACAGTATAAAAAATACTCCAGAATTTTTACCTCAAACATGATGGTGTCAACTTGTTCCTTAACTTCCTGTTCATTGAGAACAACTCCATTCTGCCCGGCTTCGATGAGAAGATCCAAAAAGGCCAACCGTTTCTTCTCACCAACGTCATTCTCATCAACATCAAGATCGTCCTTCAGACCTGAAGATTGGCCGAATGAGAGTCCCTCGACACTTGTTGCTTTGGCTTCTTTAGCCTCTTTACTATCGGTGATGAAATTACGCTTTCCTGCCTTGTAATCCTCCTTCTTACGCTTGATAACTTTCTTGGTCAATCCATGGATGATCTCCAATAATTGAATCTGATCTTTTCCATATTTAGTTAGATTGAAGAGCCAGTCAGGCCTCAACCAAACTCTGGTGTGACGAAGATGAAGAATGTCACACATCTTCATAACTGCCATGGCGTATTCAAAGCCACTGCGATCTTGAGTTGTCTTTGAAACACCCATGGCAGTTTCCAAAAGAATTTCCACTGTAGTTTCAGACATGTAGTCGTGAATGTCAAATTCTTTTTCACCTTCTTTGCGCATTTTCTCAACTACACAACGAGAGTTGGCGTTGAAGAGATCGATGAAACTTTTCAGAACGTTCAAATGGAAAGTTGGAGCAATGAGTTTACGGTGGGCACGCCATTTTTGACCTGAAAATGTTTAAATATTTGTTAAATCTTCGTTACCCTTTTTCCTTTCGAATGAAATTTTTTATATATTACATTCAAAACATTGAATTTTTCAAGTCATTATGACCGAGTCCGCCCTTCCAACGTCAAATATATCATTGTCAGTTGTCGAGCATTTTCATATAAATTTATGTACGTGACTGAGTGTTTTTCAATCAAAGAGAATCAAACAATTCTCTCTTCCAATAAAGTCAACTTAAGTAATCATTGTTGTTATTGAATATCCATGATAATCCTATCCATGATAATTCGCAGCCAAGAATCAAGTGTATAAAAAACTCGTGGAAGTTGTAAAATTTATTATGACTCATAAGGAAGAAACGACGCGATTGAGATTAAAGATTGAGTAACTGATTGGCATAGGAGAAAGTACCGAGATCCTTAGACCAAGTGCATGAGACACTACAATTTGCTTCCTGTTCGGCCTGCATTTCACTAGCTTTGTGCAATACATTGATCGGGTGTAAGTTCCCCGCTTCCTCCCTTCCCTAAATCTTAACTGTGTTTAAATTTCTCCACGTCTCCAAGTCTCGGCTGCTGAAAACAGCCGTCATTAAAAGAACGTGTGTATTCGCCAGTGGAAAAAAATCAGGAAAAGCAGCTGAGCGTGCTAGCAATAATAATTCTGCATCTTTTGTTCTTGGTTGAATTGAACTTCCTAATTAATATGCGTAGAATTATCTTTTTGGAAACCAAGGGTGAGCGTGTCAGCCATTAAAAAATAATTAAAATAGTAAACCAATTGAATCATTGTCACCAACGTTAAACACCACCACACCATCCAGGTGTTCTTACCAGTGGAGATTAAAAGTCCATTTCCGAGCCACGGCTGGAAGAATCTGTATTCTGGGGATTTATCAATGTACACGTGGCTGGAGAGAATAACTTCGACGTCTCGTGGATCAACCAAGAAAACGATGAGTTTGGGACCAATCCAAAGACGGATCACTTGGTCAAATTCAAATGAGCGTTTGTAGATATTACGGAAAATGGCTGAAAAAAAAAAAAATTCCACGATAATTTTGTAAACCAATTTAAAATATTTTTTATCCATAGAAAATATTTCTATTTTCTCTTTATAGCATTATCAAAAGACACTTTTTAATGAAAATATAATTTTGACAAAATATAGAAAGATATTGTGATGGTGACTTACTGTCTGAGCTTCCAACAAATTCCAATGCATTTCCAAGAATAGGATAGCCTCTAGGACCTGGAAGTTTCTCTGCGAGTTCGAGCATATGACGTCTCGAAATTCTGAAGTAGATGAACCACAGTACAAGTGCTGGGACTAGAAGTGCCAAAAAAGTTGAAGAAGCTGACATACCCGCCGCTGCAGATGCATCGACGGTACCAGCAACCACTTCGGGTCCAGTTGCAGACATCCTCTTAATTTAATGTGAAAAATTTTCTGAAAAATGAATTTTAATAAAAAAGCTAGACACCGTTGGCACAAAATTGAAAAATTTGATACGCTTCAATTGATATATCAAAGAAGGGAAACCATTTGATGAAATGGAATTAGGAAATATTTATAATATAAATTTTACAACGGATTTTTAGTGGAAAAAAAAATGAATAGTCCAGAGCGGAATTTGGTCGTTCGCGTTGAGGCGAAAACAAGTTATCACTTTTTAGAACTGTTTCACTCATGTAGCACCAATTGAATATAAATTTTTGTGTGAAAAAAAAAAATTCAACATCTTTGATAAAAATTCAACCTTGTCCAATATAATTGAAAAATTTTCACCCACCTAGGTTTAATTAACAATAGAGCGGACTAGTTTTAAACTGGGCGACAAACTACCACCGAACTGCTCGTCCTCCCGATCACATAAGCCTTTTATAAGCTGGAGTCCAAATCTCAAGTCCCCTACCACTTCACCTCCACAGCCAACAGTCTTACCTATAATTGATCGAGCTGCGTATAGGTGGCAAATTAAAATAGCGAAATATATTCTCTATTCACAAATTCAACCGTCATACAATATTTGCTAATTCATCAATGAATGCTTCATCACTCGTGCCTATGATTTCCTGAATATCAGGAAACCTCACTCCACTGAGCTCGTTGTTAATTGCATTTCTTGGTGAAATCTAGTTCCATTTAAGTCATATTAGAATTTCAAAGTGGAAAAATTTTCTTATTTTTTCGGCTTTACCCCTCTCCAAAACCACCGTTTTTCGTCCTCTTTTGTCCACTGAATTATATGGAACTATCTGGTAGGGCAATGTTGTAAATTCTTTGAAATTTCACTCGCAAGATCATCTGAGTTGTCAATTATACGAGCTTGAATTCACTTACAATTCAAAGCGGCCAGTAAATTTTCTATTTATTTATCTTAAAAATGCAAGAAAATTGGGACTTCCCAAAAAAAAAAATGATGATTGATTTTTTTATGTAAGTATGAATTTTTATTCTCATCATGAGAATTCAACATCAAATACAATAGAATTTTCAGGGATTTTCTGTGTCATTTCTGAATATTCACAAAATGTGTTTGACTCATCAGTAAAGAATCCTAATTCGTTGAAGGATTAAATCCAATCAGTTTAATGTCAATTGAAAAATTTAATATTACCCATTTACCCGATAATTCTTCTTTCCTCGTTGATATTTTGGTCAAGACATTTGATAAGTTAGTATAGATGAAAATTATTGTCTATTTTATTCCATATTTATTCTGTCATTAAATCGGTGAAGAAAATCGCGGAAACTCCGGATACATCACAAATAAATACGAATGATGACGAGTCATCGACACGTAAATTCGTGCGTGACCCGATCATTCCGTTGACGGGGGAGATGTGAAATAATTAACAAACAATGGATTTGTCTTTTACGTGTGCAGGTAGACACAATAATAACGTTCAGTATTACGATAATTTTCCTTATCAACGCGATGGAATCACCCAAAAAAATTTCTGTAATATATATTTTATGCAGTACAATAATTTTCTATATGCGTTCATTCATTCATTAGGTATTTCTATAACGAAATAATGCTATATCGAAGAATGTTTGATATCATTGTATTTTAGAGTACACGAATCCGACACTGACCTCATTACGATAACTGAAAATTCATCGGAACAAAAAATGGTAAGAGTTGACAATGTAGTGGCATTTGTTGACCGAAAATGGAATAGAGAATCTTTGGTTGATGACATTAAGGACATGAAGCAAAATGTACTTGTATACAGATGTATACTAATGTATACAGAGAATTCCACTAATTATATTCTTTCCCCTTGTGAAGACGGTGGTGATTTCCAGTTATATCTATCTGAAAGTCTATCTGTTTAACATCTATTTAACAAAATAATAATCATAAAAGCCTGAACAATTAATTATTCAGAAAGAAAAAATCGTTTTTTTTTTATATATATATTTTTTGAGCTGCATGTTGTAAAGGATGAGCAAATGATTCCCTGGGGTTACATGCTGAATGACAGAGTTGGTATCGTTGGTATATATGACGAGTGGTTGCGTTACCTTGGAAACAAAGCTCGCTATTAGGCAACTTGGTGGACTAGGAAAGCATGTAAAGGGCCTTCACATGATGAGTAGAGTAGTGAGTAGAGTACAGTAGAGTAGAGACGTGTGCTACCAACACACATTTCATTGGGTTGAGTTGATCCTCGGGCTTAATTTGTTGGAGTGCAACGAGTGCAACGAATGCAACGAGTGCAACGAGTACAACCCAACCCCTCCAGACTCACCAACGAAAGTGAAATTCTCTTTGACTATTAATTATTCAGGGGCTGAATAGGCCCTCGGGTATTTTTTTTCTAAACGCTTTTCCTGTCTGATCTCACGACTCCCTCTACATATGCTACATCCCAGGTATCAGGCGAGCAGAGGAATGTAGGAGAAGGGCAAAACTGCAAATGAGGGCGGGTGTGAAAGGGCGAAAAGGTGGAAATGAGCTATATGGGCTATATATCTAGATCCACCTATATCACCACTCACGCATGCTCACTCTTTATTCCGTCATCTCACTTTACTTGTTACCCTGGAATCTCTGAAATAGCGAGTACAAGCTCTTGTGTGTTTCGAGCTTTTTATCCTGTAATGCAAATAATGTGATGACCAATGATCACTTGTGTACACGTGACTCTATGGGAACAGTATTCTCATTTGCCATTACAATAGCCGGATATCCAGGTCATGTATACACGTTGACCCTCTACTCGTCTTTTCTCCTTGTTGACTACGGCACCGTGAAAATCATCACTGTTCAAAGTTTAGGGTCAAATCATTTTTTCAAAATCTCGCCATTATTAATTCATCAAAATATCAAAATATTCCTCACCATGATATTTATCAAATCTAGTTTTAATATCATGACTTGATGACAGATGATTAGATATAAAATTTGGATATTTATCATCTGTAAATTTTATCCTTTATGTACATATGAAAATTTATAAAAATTCATAGTGAAACAATTTATAATAGATGATTTAATTATAGTTTTTAAATTTTTTCCAAATATATAGTGTATGGTAGTAGGAGTTACCGACAGTGTTAGGGCTAGGCCATATTGAGAGCTGAAAGCGATTGACACGCCATCCCTCTGAAGAGGTAATATCATCGGCTTGTCCTTGAAATCGTTGAAATCCTGATAGTGTATTACATACACATCTAGCGAAGCATATTCTCTTTGCATTTACATTGTATATATGTATACATATAGCATAGATAGACATAGTGCTTATTGGATGCAAAACGACAGGGCCCACAGGGCACAGGCACAATGGACACCAAAAGACGACATGCAAGTGAGCGTTAAATTTTTCGGTCTTCTCTGAGCCTGAGGCATAAAGTACAAAAATGTCCGTTCTCTCTCGTTCATTCGATTCAATAATGCAAATATCGTTATTATTTCTGCGCACCAGTTGACTAATTAGTATAAAACGTGCATAGTAAAAAAATTGAGGTATTTTCAATACTTGCATAAAAATAATAGACCAACACTAAAGATCGTGAGTGCGGTGGTTAAGTAAATACGTATAAATACCGTAGAATTAAGATTACACCTAATCAAGGCATCGAGATCATTCATCTTCATTGGAAGATGATGTAAATTGTAAACTAACACATTAAGTAAAATGGAATAACGAAAAAACCAGAGGGAATACAATAACAATAACAAGAGAGAAAGAAATAGCAGATACTGTGATAAAATAGTTTAGAATTTTTTGTCAAAATTATCAATGGGAGAAAATAAGAATTACATAATGAAACTTCGTACAGCTCCAGCCAGTAATATAGCCAGGAATGATCTTTCAATGTCATTTCTGTCCCGTAGCACCTGGAGCTACGTTGTTTATTGCACCAATGGATGTCCATAAAAAACATTAATGAAAATTAATGAAGTTTATTTATGAGAGAGACAATGGAACAGGCCTCGTACTGCTAACATCAATGCAAATGTCCAATTTTCGTTGCCATTCTTTTGAAAGCAATGGTTTCAAATCGATTGGACTTTGGGCTCATTGGTGAAAGTGGCGTGGCCATGCGACACGCTTTTTCATTTTTCACATAGAAATATTTTTGTTTACGTCTACAATACATTAAGACTACATTTATTTAGACAGAAAATTTGATAAGAATAGTCTTTTAGGAAATTGATTAACAAACATGGCTGGAGCGGAAGAAACTAATGTCCCGGTGGGTGAGAAAGATTTGGAGAATGAAGCAGGATCAGATGAACCACATCCCAAAAAACGGAAGACATCTCAATGTCCATTCCAACATTCAAAAGATGAAGGTGATAATTTAGTTAATCCAGAGAGTCTTGGAGATAGTGCACTTATCGATGGAAATTCTAATGGAGAAGAGATTGACAAAGTCAAGGAAGAGCTCCAGCACCATAATAATAATATGGTAAATGAGGAGAATGATAAAAACACGTCGGATATTGCGAATGGATACAATCAAAGTTATCATTCTGATGCTGATGAAGACGACTTGAGACAGTTTGATGTTCTTGATGATCTTGAACGCAATTCAGAGCAAGATGGATCTGATTATGACACTGATAGCAATGAGAGCATGGATTCTGATGTACCTGATGAGGAGATTGAAGCTATGCTGGAAGAAGGTAATGATTGTCATCCAATCCCGATTTTGCACCAATGGAATCCAATTTTCCCAAGTAATCCGCATTTTAAATTATTTCTTCATATTACTGTAAAATTGATAAATTGATAATTTGTAGGTCTTCCTGAGGAATTCAAAGGCAAGAAGAAAAGGAAAAATGACTGCAGGCCTTACGAAGAAAAAGAGAAGCTGGTTTTGGATGGTATGTTATCGTTTAGTTATCGTATTCATGATTTTCTTAGAAAGAAACTAAGATGTGTAATCACGAGCATTTGTCGTGAAACTGATAAGTGGCGAACATTTGGAAACTAGATCCTTTGCTGCGTTAGCTTTATAGAAAAAAAAAAAAAAGAAAAAAAACCAAAGATTCAAATTCACCAGACATTGATATCATTAGAGTTAAATTGTTCCCACTTTGAAGTTCAATCAAAGAAATATCTTGATAACAATTTTCTAAATTATCATTCATTAAATTATTATACATTTGAATTATTTGTTAATAAATCGTAATAACCTTATTTCACAATAAAATTTCACCGACATAAATGATTGAACAAATTATTGATATTTTCAGAAATTGGACACAATCATTTTGATGTATTACCCGAGGGTTGGGTTCAAGTAACTCATAACAGTGGAATGCCATTATATCTCCACAAACAGAGTCGCGTCTGTACTCTAGCAAAGCCGTATTTCCTGGGTCCAGGAAGTGTACGAAAACACGAAGTACCTGTAAGCGCAGTGCCATGTTTACAATACAAACGTGCATTACAAGATGAAGAAGAAGAGCGCCGAAGAGAGAAGGAGCGTGAACCGACTGCTGAAGCTTGCACACTGCCAAGTGCCAAGATTGAAACAATCCAGGAAAATCTAGCAGCACACTCATTAGACAGCGAACAACTGAGGAATTATTGTCAGAATATATTTAGGTTCAAAGCTATTAAAGTCATGAGATTCCAGTCATGGTCAGCTAGGAGAAAATTTACAAAGAATAAGAAGCACAGGAAACAATTGGAGAGACCCACACTGCCAGATGGTACCAAACTCATAACTTTCCCAATTGGAAGTGCCACTTCTGCTAGGAATGGCAGTCCAGGCGCTGGTGATGATGCTGGAGGACAACGACCAGCTAAACACTGGATTATGAATCCCTCGGGGAAGAGTTCTGTCTGTATTTTACATGAATATGTTCAACATGCTTTAAAAAAACAACCCACGTACAAATTCAAGGAATTAGGTATGCAACAGATGCTATTTTACTCACATAGACTATATTACTTTTTAAGAAAAAACATTTTAATTTAACATATTGTATTCATTTATTTTTATTTTTTCCCCCACCAGAAAATGCTGCAACACCCTATTCTGCCGTAGTTTGTATAAACGACATGGAATATGGGAGTGGTTTCGGCAGTAGTAAAAAGCAAGCAAAAACCGATGCAGCACGAAAAACTTTAGAAATCCTCATTCCGCAGATGAGAGATAAAATATCAGGTGAAACATCCAATGATAATACCACGAATTCTGGACGAACAACGAAAGCCTCCAGAGGCAATTCAGATGCAGACCTATCATTTTTCGATGAAATTTCCATTACTGATCCCAGAGTTGCTGAGTTCTGTGCTAAAACCACTGAGCCATCGCCACACGCTATTTTAATCACATGCTTGCAGAGAAATTTTGGTCTTGGTGACATGCATATTAATTACTCGGTTAATACTCTCAAACATCAGAGGAATGAATTCACTATGAAAGTGGGCAAACACGAAGCCACTGTGGTAAGCCGTGTGTACCTACCTTCCCCTAATAGAATCTTACACATTGTAATATAAAACATTCAATCAATTCTTCATGTGTTATTTGAGAGAGAGAAAAAAAAAACATTTACATTTCAACATTGGATCGTAATAGGTGTATTCAAAAGAAATAATTAATTTTAAAAGACACAAAAATCAATTTCCAATTATGCACTGACAATTTTTTTTCACCGATAATCATTTAATAATAATTATCTCTATTCAATAGGTATGTAGAAATAAAAAAGACGGAAAGCAAAGAGCTGCCCAAGAAATTCTACAACGTCTTCATCCCCATATAACATCCTGGGGATCTCTCCTCCGTCTTTATGGCTCGCGTAGCGTAAAGTCTTTCAAAGAAAAGAAACAACTGGAGCAAGAAATAACACTACTCCAGGGTAAAGCTGCAGTCAACCAGCCAAATCACGCGATTCTTGGCAAATTGAGGCAGGAGATGAAAAAACTGTCAGAACAACATCAGGCCATACAACCCATTGGTAAATTTGTACCACCAGACCTGCCAACAGGATCAGCTGCCAATCTCAACAATGTTGACCTGTAGATGATAATTCAACTGCTAGTTTCTTTCGGCCATTAGCCGATATCACTCAAAAGGATGTGGTAGTGTTGATGGAATTCTACAATATTTTCAATGAATCATATAATAAGAAAAGTATTCAAAAGACCATTATGAGAAAATATTGACAGATTACCAGTGAAATATATATTAGTTTGATTTATCTCAAAACAGAATTGAAATTCATTTTAATTAATTATTATTATGAATTTAATATGAAATTTTCTTTCTACGTGAAGATTATTTTTCAATATTTAAGATTTATATATTAGGAGAGATACTACCATATCCTTGATGCGCTTAGATCCAAGATTTGAATCTTGTATAGCTGCCAATACTAGAATCCTTATCAAGACTGTATTAATTAGGTTTTATTTATTATTCTTGGCAAAATTTCTGTTGGAATCTTTGAAATCAAATCATTGTGATAGTTGATAGACAATTTTATATAATAACATTTCATTACAACTAAAAGATCTTGTAAATACTGCCCTATTTTATCTCTTTTGTTGTTTCAGGTTTGTTTTGTTTTTTTTTTTTTTTTTTCAATCACAAAAATTATCATCGGATTCTTTATTTTTTTGCGACATTTTTTTTTCCATTACAATATTTTCAAGTTTGCAAGTATATAATATTGCATAAGTATTTAATCATATTATATACAGTTAAAAACTATATTTTCACTGATTTTGTTTTCCTTTGACATGCTCTCTGGAATTTAAAGACAGACACTGTAACAAGTATTAAAACACCTCCAAACAAAACATTTGGGTTTTATGTCTTTTTTCGAAATAAATTGACACAGATATGCATTTGTATGTTTCAGGCAAATAGATTGGTTCACATATTCAATTAATATAAATATAAAATAAACGTGTCAATATTTCTAGAGATAATTGCTATGGGTCCGATGGTATAGATATATTGTATAGTTTTATGGTCAATTTTTATTTTAAACTTATTATTTTGGTTTTTGGCTAATTTTTTAAATTCTTTGGAATGTCAACTAAAAAACACATGTGAATAAAGAAAAGGCATGCTAAATATTAGCATTACAAAATCGTCGATGGATTGTTAAAAAAGGACTAATCATTTGAATTATAGTTGAAAATTGTATTGGTTTTGTCTATAGTCTAGTCTTTTAAGGCTATAGAACCGTTCATTTAAAATCTCGTAACAATGTCTACGATATTTTCTTCCAATGAATTTCTTTTCTTCTTTTTGATTAGCTAAGACTACTTTAATATGACAACACTTTGATAAAAAGTCTTTGCATTTGAAACTCTCAAAAACTTGAAAAAATCTGATTTGTTTCATGTGAAGTTGTCGTTAATTATGCAAGATAAAATCAAGTGTAAATTCGTCACACTATTAGGCATCGAAATTTATGAGTATAAGTGAGTGCTTAGAAAATTATTAAAATCCGGGGAATAAAAGCAACAACGGAATGGATAAAGTAAAGAACATGATACAAAAAATGCGTGTCTAATGAAATCAAATGGATAAGAATTTTGATGGCAAATATTTAACTAGATACTTTAAAATGGTAATAGATTATAAAATGTTTTTCTCATTCACAATTCTTTCTTATTCATTGGGAAAAATAACCGCTGAAGATAAAATAATATCTTCTAATTCAATATATCATTCTGGTACTATTTGAAAAAATGTCAACCAAGTCACAAGAAGAAAAAAAACTATGTTGTACAATGAAAAATAAGACAATTGTAAGTTTTTTGTAGCTAAATGGCAAATCCAAAATATTGGGTTAATAACATCAATATACTATCATACACGCTGATTTTTGGCAACAGATTACATTAATAGCATCAATTATTGAGTTAAAATTGGGTAACGAATCAATTTAAGAAGTTCTACCCCTATGCCATCTCTAAATTGACCAAAAATTATAAATTTTCAACCGAAAAATTGATGTAATCTCATCTTTGTTTTTTTTTCTTCTGCTCGGAAGATAGTCATTTGGTTTAAATCGACGTATCGGTGGCACCATTTCCTGAGAGGGCCATCTTGGAAAGACTAGAGAGACTCCTTCTGGGGCTGCTACCACCCAGGAAACTTCCACTTGTCTCAGAAAATATTTTTCGGAAGCTAAAAATGAAAAATCTCATAAAAATTCAGCGTGATTATTTTACATATTGAAAATTTTGAAATGTCAAATCATTACAATTTTCGAATTCCAGATTCTGATGTTTTCTTCCAGGGAGCATCATCTGGCTCATAGGGTAGAGGACCCTGAACAGGTGCGTCTTCCTCAGGTCTGTGAAAAGTTATTGAAAACAATAAAATAACTGCGTTTCTCGTTAATAAATAATTAGCAAATATTGCCAGATTGTTAAATGCCTGGACATTTATAAAAGCAAAAAAAAAAAAAAAAGATCAAAAGGAAGAATATCTGTGATTAAAGAAGTTGGGAAAATATGAAAATACTTGATTTTGAATACTCATTAATTATTTTATTGTTTATTATTATGGGTTATCGGTCAGTATTACTGTTGAATTATCACTTTTAACATTGTCGCATGTTTGTTTGTCAATTTGAGATCATTAGATTGACTTTTGCACTGTTCCAAGTGATATCATACCGTCGCATTAACAACAAAGGCTAATAAATGTATTATTTATCAAAATAAACAATACAGTACTGTATTATTTTAATAAAAGAAGTATTTGTAGTTGACCAATTGAATGAAATAAAAGAATAAATCTTGTTTGATTGATTTTGATTGAATTTGATCACAGATATGCTTGAGAAATCCAACGATAATTCTCACGTATAACTGTTAGTCTCAGGTACGGTATTCAATGCTGGTTGCCCACTGTCTGATTTCAAAGCACATTGGTAGACGTGACGCAATCAAATGGCGTACATGCGATGGTGGAGCGTGCAAAATCAAGTTAGAACAAAAACTGATAACAACTCAACTTAAATGCTAATAAAAAAATTGAAAAATAACCATTAAAAAATAATAGATAAATAATAAGCCTTTGGATTTATTAAAATTCTACGGGAATTGTTATAAGAAAAAAAAAAGATGATAAATAAAGGAGAAATTAACTCACGTTTCAGGTTTCGGCCTGTAGAGTTCTAATTCGTCTTCAAGATCAGAAACTCTTGCTTTCAATTCATTTCTTTCATGGAGAATTTCTTTGAGCTCAGCGGTTGTGAATCTAGGCCTATCTGGATCATCCAAATCATAGACAACCTTATTTGTAAGATCAGGACATCCCTGATTGGACTTGGTCAAGTCTTCATTCTCCTTTCGTGCCAGACCCAGCCTAGCGCGTAAATTAATGAGCTCACGATTCTGATCTTGCAGCTGTGCCAAGAAGTCAGCACGTTCTTCAACAAGTCCTCTTGCTTGCATTTGTGCCTGTCGCTGTTTGCGTTTCAATTCACGACCCACTGAACTAAGTTTTTCCACTTGGACGGTCAACTGTGAATATCATTCGATTAATTGCAATAGCTTGGTGATAGTGAAAAAGGATCATCAAAGTGAAAGGATCATCTTACGTTTTCAATCTCCAAATTTTTTTGCGACATTTCACGATCTCTGGCACGGATTTGATCTCGTTGTTTATCTATCATATTTCTCAATCGCTGTAAAACCTGAATATCCACCTCTTGACTAGCCGTAAAAGCTGAAAAAATTGATTTAATGATTGAATAATGATTTTATCATCCACTCATCCGTCAGACATTCATCTAATGGTGCAGGTGCAAATTAGTTAGGGGATTTACGGTTAGTACTTTGTTTACCGCTGTCCTGGCTATCACTACGCGATTCTTGTAATGCCTCAGAGAGTCGGCGATTCTCCTCCTGCAATCTTGTCACCATACCAACCAGATCTCTCGACTCCTGTCTCCAGTGCTCCTCCGTTTGCTCCACTTCCTTCATTAAAAAATCAAGAGGCATTAACGCTTATGATTATTAAGTGAATAACAAGGATTTAAGAGGGAAAAATTTTATTTTCAACTCTTATTTTTCGATATTTCGATATTAATATTATTTATTTAATTGGCATTACCTTTTCAAATCTTTGTCTGTCCTCAGCTTTACCGATCTTATCATTTTCCAGCTGGGAAATTTTCGTTGTTAATTCCTGAACAGTGGTAATCTCCCGTTCATTCTTAGTCGCCAAGTTCTCCAATAGTTCCAGTGCATTAATAACTTTAGGCATGAGACCGGTAATGGCATCGGTACCAAATATATCAATAAGTTTCTCGCACTCTTTTCCAATCTCTGAGGCAATGTCATAAACATCGACAACGGAGACATCGGATGCTCCAGAATACTCCTCCATGTCGACTGTCGAGTGATTCGTTCGTAGATGAAAAGGCATTTAATCGAATTTTTATTTCAACTTGACACCAGCAAGGTGTCCCTGGACCTTTCAGTATTTGAGTATTTGACGACCTGAAAAAGACAATCTCCTCCACGATATTAAAGTTTTTGCTTGGTTCAGTCACTCTGGATGGAATGACTCATGCCGGGAAGAATGCCATCACTGATCACATGATAACTAGCTGTAACTCGATGTATGTGCCTATCCATGTATCTACATGAGAAAGGAGTCAACATCAGCTAATTCGGCTAATTCATTCACAGGACATGAGGAATTGTTCTTGTTTTGTCAAGGCTATTGGCTATTACCTGATTCAAATCTGGACCTCACTTGTCAATCTCAATTTTTGGGCTAAATTTTGGGCTAAAGCTAAAGCTTTTCTGGCTGCAAGGTGACAACAACAAAATCACATCACATATCACAATGAAGCTTTATACACAGTTACAGGCTTTTATTAATGTCGCGATGATGGGCACTGCAATTTTTTATCCGACTCTTCAACTCCACTGACAGATGGGAGCAAAGAGGATTGACTATAGTAGAGGCTCAGTTCTGGAGGGTTTTTCGTGACCCCAGCGGCATCGTAGTACTGCACCCCACGAGAGGGAGTCGTACTGTATACTAATACATAGAATAAAATCATAAAACCCAATTCTAGTGAAAGAGAGATTGTCGACACTTTTCACTCCATGATTTTTTTAGTAAACAATTCGATCCTCAATTCCATTCTATTGCTATGTAGCTATTTCAATCATTCATAGCTTTTTTAAGGATTGTCAATTTTTCAATCGATTAGAATCAACTTATTATCATAATAAATTGTCCAATGATATTCAAATTTAACCGCTCGATCATTACTCTGGCGCCCCTTTTCGAACGTTGTCGAGGACGAGGATAACTTATTCTATACATGTAAACTCAATATTAACGGTAATATTGATTCATCATTTCGTAATGATTATTCATTTATTATATCTATAAATTATTCAACGTATTGAACTTTTGTCGTTATTCAAGTTTTATGTAACGATGTTCAATTTTTCCGCTTCGTGAAAAGTTGAGCGCCATTTTTGAAATATTGTCAAAAGCATATAACTGAGCACAACATAACAAGATAACACATAGTCTCTAACCTCGAACATTAGGCTGTGCCGGAGAATCATTTACGCCAGTTGATTTAACATTGCGCAATACTTATCAAGTTCAATTTCATCTCTGAGTTATCAAAGACTGAAGTTCCGTGGAAATTCACGAGTGACAAGTTTTCAAAGCGCTATACGATCATTTGTTTTGTAGCAATTTTGGAGAGTCAATGGCAGACCTAAGAACGATGGCTTGAAAATATCGGAGTGGAATAAAATCAGTCGTTCAGCACATTCAAAAAATATAAAAATGAGTTTGACGGTTATTAAAAGATATCTGACATCCAGTTTGGTCCCCCTTACTCGGCATTGGTAAGCACAGAAATTTTAACTCTCAAAATTTCATATGCTATTTATAAAAACATTAAAATAAATATTGAAGTACATATGATTATTATCACCTAATTACCATTGCGATGAATAGTTTTTTTTAAATCCAAATATTGATAGTGTATTGCAATATTTATTGAATTATTCGATAAAAAAAAAAATGGGAAAATATTCCTCAGTTCGACACAAACAATAAAACCAATTCCGGAAGTGCCGAAGTCTAAAGGAACCACAGTAGATTCCAACGATGTAAAACAACACGGAGAATTGTGCGACAAATGGTGGGACCTTGATGGACCCATGAAAGCTCTTCATACCCTCAATCCCCTACGAGTTCAATTGGTGAGAGATGGCCTTGCCAATGTAGGATGGAGAGAAGTTAATCCTGCACATCCTCTGGAAGGAGTGAAGATCTTAGATGTTGGTTGTGGTGGTGGAATTCTCTCGGAACCTTTGGCGAGAATCGGAGCCTCTGTAACTGGACTCGATATGTCCAAGAACTTAATTGAACTCGCAAAATCTCACGCCATTCGCGACCCAAGTCTGTCAGGACGACTCACATATTTGAATACCTCCATCGAGGAATATATTCGTACTAATGCCGGCATTTACGATGCAATTGTCGCTTCAGAAATATTGGAACACGTTGCTGATCAGGAACTTTTTCTCAAGGTGAGGATTGAAATTGCACAGAGAAAAAAAAATCGTAAAAAATAAGGGCAAGATTGTATAGACACTTTCCGACGGAATGTTATTTTCTTGTCATTACTTTTTTATTTTATTGTCTCCATATTATATAGAGCTATTATAGAATATATAGAGCTTTTGTTCTCTTTCCCCCAGCCCTTAATCATTAATATTTATAATCGATAAGAATGTTACATGTTAACTTTTGATCAGATTGCATCTGAGAAATTCTCTTTAAAAATATCAACTCAATAATCAATCTATCAAGGTATTTACTATTTATGATGATCCATAGTGCTGTGCAGATTCTGTGAAGCCTGGTGGCTCCATATTCATCACCACAATGAATAAAACAATTCCCTCGTATGTGGGTGGAATAGTAGCTGCTGAGTACATTTTAAAAATTCTTCCCGTGGGGACTCACGACTGGAAAAAATTCATTTCTCCTGAAGAAGTTCAACGCATGCTTGACAAAGGTAATATTTACTTATCAGAAAATAAATGGATCTTAATTAATCGGTTGTTATCAATTCTTCCAGTGGGATGTCGAACAAAACTGATTCACGGCGAGTTTTACAATCCAATCAGTAATCGATGGACTTGGATTTCGTCGACTGCAGTTAATTATGCCCTCCATGCTATTAAAACTGAGGAAATTAAGAAGTAATATAAAAATAAATGTATTTTTCAAGAATAATTTATTTTTTCTTTTCTTTTTTAATTCACAAAAGATGTTGTTTTTTGAAATAATAGAACGAGTGCAACGAGTGTTTATTTCTCCCTCATTACCCTTGCATAAGTCTAATGTTTGTATTTTGGACTGTAAAGGAGTTCCAAGGGATGGCGCCACGTGCCTGCCCCAGCCCTCTCATTCTCTTAGTATTTTTTTGTCATATCCATTGAAGCATCCCCATAAGCCCAAACTGAAACCAACTCAACCAACTCAACCAACTCAAACCAACTGGAGCTTGTGCCTTGCGCTGAACGGCGAGCGTGCGAACAGCGAGCGTCCATCAGTTCAGTTATTCAGTTGCAGTTGTGTGTAAGCCGTTAGTGAGTCAACACTGTCAAAAGTCGTTCCATCCACGTAACGAAACAAAACAAAACAAAACGAAACAAAACGAAACAAAACGAAACAAAACAATAAAAATAAAACTGTTATACATCTGTGAGAGAGAGCCTGGAAAATCGTTGACCAAAAACTCAAATTACAAACACCAGGAGAGAGATAAAAACCTCGAGGAGCCCCTCGGTATCACCCCCCTCCCCCTCACCGGAGGCTATATAATAATATATAATTCTCTCAAAATAATCTCCTAAAAATTGGTAAAAAATGGTGATGTCTCAGTGTTACGGAATTATCAAATACACGCTTGTTTGCGTCAACTTGGTTTTTTGGGTGAGTTTATCATCACAATAGATAAACATAAAAGTTTACTTTTCATATAGAAACAATTTTATAATCGCTCTTCTAAAAATACAAACCAAAATTTAACGAAATCCATATCTTGAGATTTCTTCGCTATTTCCAATACTGCGAGTTGAATTTAAAAAAGACAAATTCTTAACGTAACAATGATAAAAACTTTGGGAGTTTATATTTAGAAATTCATGGATACTCCTCAATCTGTTTGTATTTCTTCTTTTTTATCTTTACTCGAAATAAAACGCATTTGTTTTGTTCTGTCAAGGTATCAATCAATTTCCGCTGTCGAGATTATTCAAGTCGATATAATGTTCAATTGATTTGAATTTATGATGAAATTAATGAGGACATTGAGGAGATTTTTTTTTCTCTTTGTTGAGATGACAATGAGATGCAATGAATTGCGTGACAGAAATTGTAATTGACGATGAGAAAAGGTCGGGTTAATATCGATCATCCGATCGGTGCGGAAATTCTTTCACTCTTATTTCAAATCACAACCACGTAGAGTTTGTTTAATCATTATTTCTCCACTGTGTTTATTGGTTTCCTGTGCCAGTTACTGCAATCAAATCAGCTGTCATGTCATTATTCTTCATTTAAAAATAGTTCCATATGCCTATACATACTCTTCCATTGAAAAAATAAATTTCAACACCCAACTGAAAAAAAGAGTAGTTTTTTTCAAAACGGCGAGGCGTCGTAAAATGTTGAAATGGTACTTTTCCATGAGTGTTCAACTTTACCCTCATTGCTCATTATAAAATAGATTTTTATAGGATTATGCTGTTTCTGTTATCGACTCATCTGTTGAGTTAATTTGATTTTCATTAAACTTGTCTGGCGAATAGAAAAACATTTAATCGCTTTCGAATGGTAGATATGATTTTTATGTTAATTAGTAAGGGAAAGAGGAAAGAAGAAAAATAGTACGGTGTAATTTGATGGTGGTGGGATGGCTGTATCGATTCCATCTGGGGGTTGGTACGGGATACCATCCGCTCCCTTTTTCCTCCCTCTACTCATACATTTACCCTAACCAACTCCAAATTGTAGTTGCGCACTCACTCTCGTGTGGATTCCCTTTTTCCTTTCCACCGAGAGACTCAATCTCAATTGAATGGCCAATTCAACCAGGATGGCTATCCTACCAGGGACACCAGAGTATTCCAAAATAGGTCATGACCTGGATGTATCTGCGCAATTAAATCACGAATATTCCCCATACAGCTAAATATTGTTCAAGACATTTTTACCGTATTTTTTCATAATACCTAAGGACATTAAAATGGAATTTAACTTGCTGTTTTTGACTAACTTCAATGACTATTGATTTTTTTTTAATTTCATCAATTCAGAGAGATAAAGACTTTTGCCAAGTGAATGGACTTTACCGGAAATATAAACACTTGTCCAAAATAAATGAATTTTTGGGAGAAAAAATTTTTTCTGGGCGTAGGAAGATAGACCATCTTGAATGAGAGGTGGAAAATATTCGCTCCAATGACGATAATCAAAGCGATGGTTCAAATAAGGACGTGAATGGCAGACCGCCATGGGGGTAAATACATGCTACAGGCTCTTTCAAAAGTAAGAGGTGCAGTTATTTGCATATAACCCTAGGCGAAAATCAATGGGACGGTACCTGAAAATTATCTTATAGCGTTTACATAAACATAAACATAAACAATGGTTTCATAAGAATAACACCGCTTGATCATATGCACCGAATTTTCGTTTTTTTTTGGAGTATCTTCATAGACAGTCATCTAGTCGGCTGGAGAAATTTTGAAATACATTTCAGATACCTCTTTCGACTCCCATTCTGATGAAGATACAGGGATAAAGTGAATTATTAAATTAAACTACATTTTACAATTAAAAATTTTGAAATTTTGCCCCAAAGGGTCAGGGCATTCAGACAAGGCAATTTTATTAAAATTCAGAAAAATGTTCTACCATTTTTTTTGTTCAATGCACGTCATATAATTCTTTTAAAAACTAGTACGAGAAATACTGGATTTTCCAGTTACATTTGCTGTGATAACGGCGAGAATTGAAATTTCCTTGTTTCCCTTGTATAAAAAAAAAAATATTAGTTTTGTTAGATTTGCTTGGGTCCAAAGGATTTGGGTACTGAATGAAAAATAATATGGTAGAAGAAGGGAAAATATAAAAGCAATTGGCGTTTAAATAATCGCACATGAGGAGACATTTTTACAGTAGAGCCCCTCGTAAGAGTCCAGGTGGTGCGTGGCTGTTTCCTCTAGTCGTATAAATTTACTGACACAACTTTGTGTAACTGGTATGTGAATGTAAGGGGAGAGTTAATGTAGAGAAACTGAGAGAGCAAGAGAGAATAGTCAGGACTTATTTCTGGTTGATGAGGCGAAGCGGAGAGGTGAGGTCTTTCTCAGGGCTGACGTGACTCACGTTTGTTAATGTTGCTACAACTTAGCTGTAAAAATTTATTTTCAGTGACCAAGCGAATTTACTTTTACTTGAAAAAGTTTCTAGTGTTGGTTTCGGGATCCCCCACTGAAGGAAAAAAATGTAAAGATGATAGCACGTGCAGGCTGAAAAAAATGGCAAAACGGTAAAAGGCTCTCAAAATATTTATTGAAAAAAAAACATTTATATATTCATTGAGATGATTCAATTTGGCATTATGATTTTTGGAAAGGCCGAGTATAACATTCCCTGGGAAAATGTTTATACGATGTTTTAGCAGAAGGCACGCGATATACAAATAGCGTTTAAGCTTAAGCTGCAGGAAGTTTTCGACTGAGAGAAATTACATACTGACTCGTAATTCCAGACGAATATAAATCCAGTGGAGGGGACTGGGAAACTCTTGTCGGTAAACATAACGAACAGACTCGCCCTGTGTCCCACGCTTGCCTGGAATTGAAGATGGAGATTTTTTCTTGACTTTAACATTAGATGGATTAACCGTATAACATGCCAGACATGTCAGGCTATCCCCAAGTGCCCAAGTGCCCAAGTGCCCAAGTGCCCAAGTGCTACTCCAGGCCATTTCTCTTATCTTTACAACATGAAAAATACATCTTGCTTGAAAAAAAAGCTTCTTCCCTCAGACCTTTTTATTCATGAAATTGTTACCATGCTTCACTACCGCCCAGACGAAATTCGGTTTACAGATGGGAAAAGATTCTCCAGGTATGGCATCACGTGCTGTACACGTGTTGGTAATATTTATTTCTGTATTCTCAAGAACATTCTTCAGGCATTTCTCGAGAAGGAAGTGTTTCTACATATTCATTTTTGGTAATGCAAGGGCATTCATTTTTTTTTTTTTTTTCGTTACTTTGAGCCTTTTTTTTTGTTGTGTGAGAATTTTTTTGATGATTCGTCAATTATTTCAGTTTGAATTCAATTTCAAATAAAAATGTAACAAGTAGAAATGTGGGAATTTCGGAAAATACTTTTCTTCCATATGCTATCTTAATAAGAGGGAAGTCAATAGTGGAAGAGCTATTCGAAAAAGGTGAAAAGAGAACAAAATCGCTCCGGGATCGTAGAAAAGATGAAATCTCTCGAGTGTAAAGAGTCTTTCTCCCGACACATATTGTTGACAGATTTGACGTATGAAGCGCGTCTGGCACCGTTGACAATTCTAAAAGCTTTTCAACAATCTTCATCAACAAATGTATCCAGTTTTTTTTTTAACAGAGACTACCACTTTTTCTCATGTTTCCCTACTATGCTCTCACTCATCATGTAGGATTATGGTTTTTTATACGAATATAAACTCTAAGCGTGTTTTCCACACAAAAGTTCGTGTCTTCACATTTCACAGATATTCAATATGTACTCCAGGTGTCTGCTGAAAAAAACATGCCAAGCCACATGTTGGCAGAATAATGAGCAGGGAATATATTCACTAATTGGTTCCAGAATTCATTAGAGTTCAATTAAATATTTGGAAAAAGGTGCGAAATAAATATCTTTTAATCATTAAATCTCCAACTGCCAATGGAGCAGTACAAGATTGTTAGTGTAAAAAAAAGTATATGTTATTAGACATAACGAAAAATGTGCAATGGCAGTATTTGCTGAGTGCTCGAGAAATGAGTGCAACGGCCTTACAATGCACGTGCTGACCTTTACCACCTTTGTGGGGTTAAGCAATGAAAGAGAAAAAATATAATATGTATAGGAAAAAAAGTGGAATGAAAAATAAGGAAGAGCTCCAGTAAGCGGCTAGAGTTTTGAGTGGATATTCAATTACGTCATTGACATGCAAGTGTTGCGACTTTGAGTTGAATGCGAGTAGTTGTCTTACATTTCATGCATATTGCCACCTCAGGAGTCTTTGATTACATTATTCATCTCCTTGCGTCCCCCCTTTCTGATTCTCATCTAAATCAGAATACCACTAGATTAATGCTTACGAGTTTTATACGAGAATTATACGAGCTTTAACCATTAATTATTCTCAGCCCATATGCAAACAACTCTTTATCCTCATCAACTGTTGCATTCTAGTGCACTCCTTTAGAAAATCTGCCTCTCGTATTTCTCCTACTTCTTAATATAGGAAATCTTGAGCAAATTCCGACTCCAAATTAATGAGACGAGCGGTTTTTCATTATCTCACACAGAATCTGGAAAAAAAAAAAATTAACGCCAATTATGAAATTCAAATAGGTGAATTACGACATTGGATTCAGTACTTAAGATTTCTTTCTTAAAAACCTCGCGTGTTGCCATCAATTGTTCATCAATAAACAATAAATAAAATATGGACTTTTTTTCAGGCACTGGGTCTTGCAGCGGTAGTTCTAGGGGTATGGATGCTAGTAGACAATACATTCATAGTGTCGCTGACCCAAGAAGAGTCTAATTACCATGCAGGATTGTACATAATGGTGGCAGCAGGAGCGCTCCTCCTGATAGTCTCATTCCTCGGCTGCTGCGGCGCATTTCGTGAATCCCAGTGTCTCCTGGTTTCCTTTTTCAGCTGTCTACTGGTCATTGTTGTCGCTCAAATTGCTGCTGGGGCATGGCTTTACACTCATCGGGATACTTTTGGACCACTCGTCAAGAGGGCATTTACAGAAACTATTAAAGTAATTATTATTATTAACTCTTTAGATGTTTTAGATGTGAAATGCAATGAAATGCCCTGATTTGGTAGCAAAAACGAGACGCGCAAACAGATATTCTGGTAATGATTTAAATGTTTTATTTTCAGAAAGACTACGGTGTCATTGAATATCGCACAGCAACCATTGACGCCTTTCAATCTAACTTGGGATGCTGTGGAGCTAATGGACCAGATGATTGGGCTGGTAGTGAATATAATACCAAAGGCTCAACTTTGAGTGGTCTCAGCGTTCCTGTTACCTCGAATGGAAACAATAATTATGAATTGCCCGAGTCTTGCTGCAAAGAGAAGGGCTCCGAGGCCTGTCGAAGAGCACGTCAAGTCAAAATTGGAGGATTTGTCGACAATGCTATTTATTCTGAGGTAATTGGAGATATTTTTCATTTTAATTAGACTTTTTCATCCTCCTGCATGATTGGTTAAACTTATGCAGATCTAAAATAATCCATAGAATTCTTCAATTACTACTGACAAAAATACTTGAGAAAAATTTGAGAGAATCTCAAAGGAAAATAGTAATAAACATTGTTATATTTATAGTAATTAAAAAAAAAAAGTGTCCTTTGCAGTGAAAAACTTGATAAAAATGTGAAAAATATATTTTTTTCCATACAGGGCTGTGTCGACAAATTAATCAGCAAACTAAATGACCAGGGCTGCAGTATTCTCATTGCAATAATTGCTCTGGGCATCGTTGAGCTAATTGGACTAATCTTTTCTCTAGTGCTCTGCTGTGCCATCGGTTCTTCCGATCGATACAAAGCTTAAGGAGAAAAATTTGAGATATGGAGATTTTTTTTTTTTTTTCTAGTAACGTAAGCATCAGAATTTTTTTCGCCAAGATCTATCGTATTACTCTCCTGTCCAGATGTGCCCAATCGCTCGCTCTTAAACTTATGACTGGTTTTTAGTTGAAGGTAAAAAAAATAATAATAATTAAGGTTTACTGTGTGTGCCAAGATATTGCCGGTGGAAAAGATACTAAAAGACGCTTCACTTGTCGATGCTTCACATCAGTCAAATTTATTAATGTTGAGAGATTAATCACTGAGTAATAAGAGTCCATCCCGTACCTTTAGATGTCCATTAGTTCTAGGATTAATTCTAGGATAAGGGAAATCTTTTGAATTCTGTTGAAGTAGAAATCTCGGATGCAGTATAGATTGTTTAATATGATATGTATGATGACAAGTAAATATTGCAAAAGAATTTTTGGGCTATTTGGACGTCCAGCATTTATGAAGTTCACTGTAAATTGCTTTGGGAGGTAATGATTATTGTGATGTCTTGAATAACAGCAGATCGTTGGCTATCAGTACCTGCCTATTTACAATTTATTGATGACGATAAACGCAAATTTAATATGCGTTTGATGTGCGAGAGTAAATTAATTCTATTATGCTATGAGAAGGAGTTTGAATATTTGGAAAATGAAAGAGTGACAAATTGGATTAATTGGAGTGCCTGTTAAATTTTTCTTTTCATTTTTTTCATGAAATATTGAGATGAAAAAAATTGCTAATAATAATTATCACTCGAAAATCAAATTTATATTTTCAAGATGAGGAAAATTTTATTTTTCTCTTTCACTCTCCAAAACAATTCGTAAAAATGATGAAGAAAGTGAATAATTTTATTCCCTTGCTTTATTGAATGACAGAATATTCAGTGTTGACATTTTACCAAAGAGTTATTCATTTTTCGTTGGTAAGATTTCGTATAAGATCAGAGTAATATGAATTAGCAAATTTTTGGCACAAGATTGTTTGAAAAGAATCGCGCAAAACTATTTTTTACAAATGGATCTTAAGAAAAACTGAAAGAATCTTTCTTTTTTAAATGATTTATGGGTACGAAAATTCTTCACCCGCTGAACTGATCAATATACTTTCTGTATTTAAGAAAGTTTCTTGTGGATATGTTTTTTAATTAAAAATATGCTAAAAAAATATATACACAAAGCTATATATTTATTTTGAATTGAATTCAAGGAGTGATTGTTTCGTTTAATCATCATATATTATATGTAACTGACCCGTAAAAAGCCAAGCTAGATGTAGAAAGAGGAGAATGAAAAAACATGGCGAATATTTTCCATACTTCAAGTCAGAGAAATATTATTGACGAAATGGTGAAAAATTATCTAAAGAAAATTATATGGAGATGGAAGAAAAAAAGATCAATTCTATATCTACTGTACCAGAATCTCGTAGCGCTATAACGAATTCGTATAGCGTGTAAGAAAGATTTCCGTAATATATTTGGGGAGATTAAAGCTAGGTAAAAGATTAAATAATGGAATTAATTGAGTGTTCAGTGTAAGACATTATTATTACACCTTAATTTACTTTGAATTTGTATTTCAACATATTTTTTATACATTCATTTGAAACACAATGGAAAAAACATGTAACACCACTATTCTGGGGATTAAGGAAAGAATTTCTTTGTAATAAAAAAACATATTATATTTTCGTAACTAAGAGTGCGAGCATTTACTCTTGTACATTGTGCGTTAAATTCCCAGACTGTGAAATGTCCAAATAATATTTCCAATACAGAATTCGTATCTCATATTATGATTCAAGAGTTTCATTTTTTCCTAAACATTTTTGCAAAGCTGTAAAGGTTTTACCTCTTGGATAAGTGAAATTGTCTAGGGAATTTCCATAATTTTCAATTCTTATTGATTTCAAAAGATAAATCATTTGAATGAAATCGACGATTTCAGGCGATTTTTAAAAATAATTCCAAGTAATTTCCAAGAATAGATTACATCGCTGTTACATCACTGGATTGATAATGACTGTATAAAATAAAAAACAAAATTTTGAAAAAAAATGACCATTTGATAATTAATGTACTGGAGTGAATGTAGTGCAATGCAATGCAATGCTTCTCTCTGATGAAAAGGCATGATGAGAAAGAAAGAAAGAAAGAAAGAAAGAAAGAAAGAAAGAAAAAAAAACAAGGCCCCGATGGAGGGGTGGTACTATGTGAATGGAGTGGGGCCCCGTTTTACAGGTGGGGCTGAAAGTTTGAACGCAGCACGACACAAGGTTAAATATTTTCCTACGACTCACCTGGACCCTTTCCTGCCGCTATATTCTCCCGTGACTCATTCCTGGTGCTCCTTTATACCGTTACTGCATCCACCTCCACCTCAACGAAATCATTCAGCAATATTTCTGACGATAAACCTGACAATAGTGACAATAGTGACTGGATTATACGATTTAATTAACGCCAACCGAGCACATGTTGTTGGAAATTATTTATAAAAATTATTCGTCTCACGCCTCTTGAAGTTACATCCTGGCGAAACTACGCAATGTCTTGACCCTATTTGGAATTTTCATCAGCTACGAGTAAATGCGAGTATACCAACGTACGTTTATTATTTGAATAAAAATTTTTTAGTCAATTCGAGTTTTAATTTTGTTGTTTGTTTCTTCTGTAAAATGACAAGTTATATTTGTCCCTTGAACCAATCGAGTCACCTGTTTTGTCAGGCGTCTACCTGCCCTCTCCAAGTCCATAAAAAATGGAAGATTTTTTAATTCGGCCCCCCTCTTATCTCTTATTTTTCTTTTATTGCCAGTCTACGAGATTCAAGTGCAGGTGGCATTTTTTTCACCACGAAATTGGTAAAGAGCAGATTGTTGTGGTGGCGTGTTATTCAATTGCCAGTGAAGCAATCAACAGCAATAAAATAATGTGTTAACGTAAAAATGTGAATAATAATTGATGCGACTGATAGGGTTGTAGAGCTCTCGAGATAAGGAGAAAAACCGGTTTGTTGTTCTCAACGCTGGAGTTCATGTACCTTTTTTTATTTTTAAGCTCAAGTTAGAGAATGGAAATGCGGTGTGTGTGGCTCGTTCTGGGATTTCTCGTTCTATCTGCTGCTGATGATTCAGAGAACTGTGATGACAAGAATTGGCACAGCTTGGAGACATCAGAGCTGTCCAAGTTAGAGTGTGGTCGTGCTTTCCAGAATAGATGCATCTGCTCGAGGATTTGCTTTGAGGGGAGACATCAGTACGTTGTCAATTGCACAAACTCCAAATTTACCGATGTAGAACCCTTGGAAAATTTACCCAATAAAACTCAGGTAATATTTCATGGTTTTTGCCATGGATATTGGCTATTTGTTTGCAAAATATTGACATGTTTTGATGATTTTAGGTATTAATTTTCACGGGAAACACATTAGAAAAACTACCATGGAATATTTTCGGTACATTGGATAGAATACCAAGTTTGAGGATTATCGACATGTCAAGCAACAAAATTCGGGAAATAAGTGGAAAAGCGTATCATCATGTAAAGAACGTGCAGCGGTTGAATCTAGATTTTAATGAATTATCCATACAATCCCAGAGCGATCATCCACGTGTTTTCTCAAATTTTGAATCTCTTCTGGAGTTGCACCTTACTGATGCCTTTGAGGATGGACCACCAAGAGATTTAGCTGAGACACTACACAATATATTTGTCAACAGGTACATCAGTCATTAGCTCTTAATTAGGATTGCTTTTATTTATTTTTTTTTTATTTAAAAATTGATTTACAAAGTATTGTTTGATTTTTTTCTGCAGTAATTTGTCTCAGCTGATAAAGCTTCATCTGGAGCAGAATGAAATCTCGGAATTTAGAGATTCAAAAGTCTTCTGCAATCTTCCAAATCTCCTAGATCTTCACTTGGGAGATAATTCTCTAACTGCATTGCATTTCAATTTATCATGCCTGCAAAAATTGAGATTTTTGGATCTGCAACGGAATAATTTCACGAGGGTATTGGATCGCGACATGAAGACCTTAGACACATTTGCACAGCACAATCAAAGTGTGACGATCGATTTGTCCAATAATCCATTTCAATGCTCCTGTAAGCTTAATCCATTCATCAAGTGGATGAAGAAAACTAAGATCTTTGTGAGAAATCAACATATTTTGACATGCAAAGACAGTAAGTAATATTTTCACTTTTTATTCATTAATATAGCAAAAATTTATAATTTAGAAAATTAATTTCACACAATCTCATGACAATGAGAATCAATGCACGAATATAGCTGCTATAAAATCTGGAAATAACACATTGCAGAGCACAATAAACTGTTACCCTTCCAAGAGACGAAGAACTGCATGACAAAAGTGAATTCAGCAGCTGGAAACTCAGGAACAGCCGTAGCAGTTGTGATGCTTTCGTTAGTTTTAGTGGCCCTTGTTTGTGCATTAATCTATTTGCAACGTGAAGAGCTGAAGAAAAAGCTTGGACCAGTGATAGATTCAGTGAACAAACGCGTAAGATACACATCAATAGCAACTGGAGAGGCCAGAGAAAATGAAGCTTAAGATCTCTAAATTTCCTTTCATCCCCTCCTTCGCAATCAATTAAAAAAATACATAATTATTATTAACATTTCCCTCAGTGTTACGACGACAATAAGACAGAACTATATAAATAAGTGAAAAAAATAATCACATAAGAAGTCATGGTAGATAAGTAGTAACTATAAAATGGATTAATTTAATATATTCTCTACCCCGTACTTAATTACATCACCTGATCAATAAAATTGAACAAATTAAAAGATTGGAGTTATCCAAGCGCACTGTAACATATTTCAAAATATATTTTTAACTTTTAGTTTATCAATTGACAAGTTACTCTAAGTAAAAAATGAATAAAAATGAATAAAAATAAGACGGTGAAACTTGAAAAGATAATTGTCTGTATATGAACATCACCTTAAGTAATCTCTTACCTCTTATCTTTTATCAAGCTATTTACACTCTTCAGGTGATTGGACACAGTCATGTCGTTGTCGTATCGGAAAATGGCTGGCCTTTAGGTGCATTCCAATATTGCATTTCATTTACAGTGTACGAAATTCAACGGCTATTTCCCAAAATACTTCCAGTAGATTAACATTTGGAAAATAATGGCACACACTGGGCGTCTTCGCCTCGATCAAGTTATCAGTTCTGTGCCAGAATTGGGACCAACTTTGCCTGATGGTGGATATTCTTGGATTGTACTTGCTGGTTCAATGGTTATTCAGGTAAAAATTACAGATGGGATATTTTTTTGTTTGGAGTACAACGATGACACAAGGAAATGATATTTTTGTTAGGGTCTAAATTGTGAAGTAATTTGATTCGACTACAGAGAAAAGGAAAATCTGAAAAAAACCGGGTGTGAATATGACTTTGTTTTTGACTTTCAATGGAATTTAAAAAAAAATGTTGGCATCGTTTTGTGTTTGTTTTTATATATTGAACACTAGATGACAGTGCCCACCATAACGTCAATGTATGGAGTGGCCCTGGGTCATTTGGCCGTTGATTCACCATTTGGATTGGATTCGTGGCAACAGGAAATAGCTATTATTCCTATTCTCTTCACAGCGTTCTTAAGTCTAGCAGGTGAGTTCAATTTGGATGTTGGACGGAATGACAATAAAACTTCATCACTTGAAAAAAAAAAAATTTTCAATAATTTCGAATAATTTCAGAGCCATGGTCCGGTATAATGGTGCACCTAGCAGGAGTACCTCGTCTAGTTGGCTTCATTGGAGTTTGCCTGTTATCAATTGGTGTGCTAGCATCAGGCTATTTGGCAACAGGTGGAGTTGGTGCTTACTTAGCAAGTTCAAGTGCAGGGGCTGTAATGGGAATTGGAGGAAGTTTTATCCTCGTTCAAACTGACACTCTTCTCCGACGAAACTTTCCAAGTCGATTAAGATTAGCGTTGACTTTGAAAGAAGTGGCGAGTTCTCTGGGCTTTGTTTTCGCTCCCGGATTTGGCCTCGCATTATTTTCAACCTCGAGTCTCCAAATGGGATTGCTTTTGATGGCCTGTTGCTTCATCCCAGCAGCAATGGGGACATTGGCCCTTCGGTCTCCAATTATTCGCTCGCGGACCAATCCTTATACTCTTCTCATTAGCGATGAGGACAATGAATTAACTAATAGAGGGATTTCTGGCAGAACTGATGGAAGCGGTCAAGAGAACAATTCCAGAAGTATATTCAATGAAGAAAGTGCCAATGATGGAGTTGCTTCCAATATATCTCGGGATGGAAATGATGTTTACAGTTTTCGAGTAAATATTTTTCAACTCAGGAACAATTAATCCATACCAAATTTATTAATTCGAGCAATTCATGCCATGCGCCTCGATTTCAGGAGCCTGAAGGAGATGAAGTAATTTTTAATGTTGCTAACTACCCCGTGAATGTTTTCTCAGGATTGAGACAAAAGTGTCAAATTTTGAAATCAGTGAAATTCTGGGTGGGTGTGATTGCTTGCATCGGCTGTAAAGCTGGAGGTCTTGTCTTCTGGATTTTACTTCCATCTGTAGCTATAGTTCAATTAGGCTCTGCAAATTTGATGGATGGTGTAACCATGTCTACGGCAGCCGGATTGGGAACATTTATCCCAAATGTAGCATCATATTGGAAACCCAACTCTGCCAGATGGAGGAGTTTATGCTTCGGAAGTGCATTGTGGCTCGGGAGCGTCACACTTCTCGGTGAAATATCTCCATCAATTCTCATCTCCTTGTCGCGTGTCTATTGTCATTCAATGCTTTTTTTTTTCTTTATTCAAGTACCAGCCAATAGCATCCCGTCTTCATTGAAGTATGAACACACTTGAATATCGATTTCGTATACTTTTGTTATCCTGGCGCGATTGTATAATTAATTGGGAATAGAGTTTTCGAAAAACAACTAAAAGTTTAGCGCAATGATTAAAAAATCAGGTACGTTGTTCAATCAACGTTTTTTCATTGTTTTTTCTCAGTGTAGTAGTAAAAGGGGTGTAGTAGCACCAAGAAGCTTTTTTTTTTTAATTTCATCAAGCCAAAAAATTGGTTCTTCACGGATAATTTAACTTGAGATATTTTTCATTAATGGATTTTCACATACGATGGCGGATACCGGCCCTTTTAGACACGCGATGTTTCCTCTCAACAGTTAACGGTAATAATTCCAGATGATTTATTGAATTGATTATGTTGCAGCATTATGGACGGAAGTTGCTTTTCCAATATATGTGACTCTAGCTTTTTTCGGAGGAGTAAGTGTAGGTGGTACTTCGGTATGCCTCGAGTCAGCATTATATGATGCGATGGGGAGTCAGTCTGTGAAAAAATCGCATACCATGTCCTCCACCATCGTTGGCCTCACTATCTTAACATTTTCCTTCATCGAAAGTAATATACCTTATTTACTATTTGATATACTTTATTTAGTTTGGGAAATATTCCTATAATAATTTGTGAATTATCAGATACTCGCTTAAATATTTTAATTGCACTATTACTTATTTTATGAATTACGTTATATTGTCCATTTTTCAGGTCCACTATTTTGCCTTCAGTTAACAGCTGGAATTCAGTTCATAGGAGGAATTTACTGGATGCTAGGTCCCCTTGTTGGGATTATTCGAGCCAAATGATAAACCTATCCATGAAGTCTTATCATATCTGTAATTATTATTTTGTACATAAAATTTTCTACAGTTGAATTTTGTAAATGATGAATGAGTTGCCTCTTGCCACCATCATTAACCAGAAGTGGAGTAGTTTAGACTTTGAAAAGTTTTGAATTTCCATTTTGATAAACGGTTTCACCTGCCCCCTGAAGAGAGTTTTAGAACCGCTTGCCACAAAATCATCGTTTGTAATATTATCTGGCATGCATCTACATGGCTATCAGCAACCGCAGGTCATTTACACCTATGGTGTTTCAACAGGCGTTCTACATACGTTATCTGCGTTTTAAAAGAGGGGGACAATGCAAGCCTATTTTATGTACTACTCTAAAACTCGATAAAAATGGAATTTCTTGAGTATGCACCCTATTTTTTTTGTTAATCAAAAAATCGTTATCTGGTGAGCCTGAATGTGATATTAATTTGAATATTCAAGAATAAAAATGAGGCGTTGGGATAGATTGATGAGATTTTAGGAAACTGGCATGACCCTTCACTCATTGGGCCAACGACTTTTTAAAGATATCTCAGGTCGACCATCACCCGAAAATCACTTCTACGATTTCTCCGTGGCTAGCGGAAGAATGTGCATTCAATACCGAATACCTCAGTCTTAAGGCTAATTAAATTATTAATAAATCGTCAATTACACAAGTGTCTACGTAGAAAAACGTCGGTTAAATATACATTTTTCTTTTTTATTTCATGTGTTTTTATTAGTTGAGAGTTAACGATTCGGAGAGTTCAATTTCGTGAGGGAAATGTCAGTGTCTAAGACGAAGAGGGTTCATATTTCCGATAAAGCCATTTCGAAAAATAACAATTCTTCGAATTTCCAAGGCCTGACTCATCGGTTCTTAACGTACGGAAATTAAAATGTTTAATTCATGAGGGCTGAGTTATTCTTCAATGAACGAGATTGTCGTGCTGTGAATATGTAATATACCAAAAATTCTTTTAAAGAACCTACAAAAAAAATAGACAGTTCTTTCGTATGAGGAGCCTTATTTCATGATTAATGGATGTTTGTATTATGATGAAAGGAATTGGTAATTAAAGTTGATCGAAATGATTGGTTTGTCCTTCTAATGGAATGTTAAAAGCTAGTGAAGAGTTGGAAAGGTGATCACATGTTCAAAAAAAAAAAACGCATCTGCAGACACATTGCTGCACGGTTTGCAAATTACGTCTGACATTTTAAATGAAAATGATTGAGATTTTTAATTTTTTTTTATTCAAAAATTATAAATAACCCTTTAATGCGAAGAGCCATTTTTAAAAAAATTGATTGAATGAAATGCATATGAAACTGACACTATCAGTAATTCTCGTCACATTTTGATAAATAGTCACATGATTACAGATTCTTTTTCGCCAAATTGATAAATTCTTTACTATGAATTTCCAAAAAAAACATCATGCATTCAAGAGTGAAACTTAAAATTTAATGTATGCTTTCCATTCAAATTTTCCAGTTTTAAAAATTGGCACATTGAATTTTTTCAAATAAATCTCCCATCCGACTGTGGCATCGTAAAAAAATGTAAATTTTCGTAAAGTTCAACAGAGACTTTGAAATCTGCAATGAAAAAACTAGATCTCTAAACGAAAATGATTTTAAAAATACCTCATGTCCGGATATTAGGGCAGGACTTGTCTCTTTCTCGAAAAACCTTTGAAAGCGATTAATTTAACGACGGAAACAAATGGACGAACGTCGTCAATAAAATTTTGAATAAATTAATAGAGGACGAGGAGAGTTGTTACAGCCATTACCTCGGGTGGTTGGAGACGAGAACAGCGGTGTCACAGTTTTGTGACGTCAGAATGCCATTACTTCCGGGCGGCAAATTCGAATAATCCCAATTTCATGATATATTGGATGGATTGAAGAGACTGAAGATCTTGAAGATGAACTCGAGCTATTGTTCGGAAAAAGTTGTCCACACAAATGAACAAGACGTGTAAAGTATAGTTTTTGGTGATATTGTGTGTATAGATAGATGTAGAGCGCATGCGCACTAGTTGATGTGGAGTGGAGGCGCGGATGGCGCGGATGGCGCGGATGGCACGGATTTATGTGTATGTGTGCGATGTGTAGGGTGATGGAGCATGGAGGGCGGGCGGTCCGTTAAAAAAAATCATAGATTGTGCAGTTGTTTTGCGTAGCTCATCGGATGTGCTCTGTGTCAAGTCTAAGGTTATGTCGTTAATGCGTGGGACGAGGTTTACCCCGTCCATCAGGAGTCATGTTCAAGGTCGCAGGAGTGTTTAGATTGGTTTAATGAGGTGAGTAAAACCGGGACGCCCATAGATTTTCTTGGGTTTTATTGCCCCCTCTCACTCATTCTCCAACACAGGTGTGTCGATCACTACTTCTCCCCCCATTATTCTTGCCAATTACACAGATACTATTCCAATTATCATCATATTTGGATACATCACCAATAAGGAATATAGCCCAAGGAAATCATCGTCTTCTCACTCCCACTCTCTGTTTCACCACTCAATTTTTATCCATATATATCTTCTTTTTCTTAAACTCACTCATACACATACACACAGTCATCTGGCGCCATGGCATCTCATGGTTACTCGTTTTGTCTCTTTTTTTTTAAATCTTTTTGCTTGTTTTTTTTTTTCACTCCCCTCGAGTTACGTTCGAGCTCCTGCAGAGCGTCTTCAACTGCAGGTGCATCATCCGTGGGAGTTACAAATTCATTCAATGAATTCACACTATTTTTCATATGTCCGTTATCGATATTTTCAATCCTTATTTCTTACTTACCTTTTCGTTTACTACTTGTTTGGAGTATTCCTTTGCCAGTTGGGCCTCCCATGTGAACGAACTCATGTTGGAGTGTTGGATTTTAAAGATAGAATCGTATCGTTTTGCTTTCTTAGGGATTCCTAGAGCATCCAAAGTGGACGGTTTAAATGAACACCAAGAGTTGAGACAGAGAAAAGGTCCTTTTTGCTGTTAGTTTCTATTCGGTTCATTGAATCTTCAATCCCTTCACTGATACCATATTTTTTACTCATTTATTGGAGTTGAGAAGTTTGAGTCACCGATGATTTCTACTGATAATTAGTTCCTGCAATTTATAAATCAACAGTCATTAGGAGGAATTTGTCATTCGTATTCTTCACATTTTCTAGTTGTGTGTCATGTGCTCTTATTATCAAGACGTTATCTTAGTTGTCGAGAACTAGACTAAGTTTTTAATTGCTTTTAGGTGGAGTTGAGTTTTTGGAGATGATGGGACGGTGAACGAGAGTGAAGAATGGACCGACACGCCATGGAAACAATTATTTTCAACAACGGTGAGTCAATCGCTTTGATAATAGACTTGCATTTTTTTTTTCATCTTCATTCCCAGGTAGTGACCAATTCAGTGCATTAAAAATTCTTCTCAACATCAAAGTTTCATTGTTTGTCACTGGTAATGTTGAATAATTCAAAATCATTAATCGTGATTTAATATTGATAAGTAAATGCCATTGCCAAATAATTATTAATTATCAACTGCCAAATATGGCCAGAAGAATATTCGTAATTAGTATATGTGAGGGAGTGATAAAATTAACGAATTAAGAAGATCTCAGCTCAGATCATTAGCTATTTTAATTTGGAAATGGAATTAAATGGAATGATGATTGCATTTGTGTAATCAATTTAAGAAGATAGAATTAAATAATTCTCCTCCATGGGGTTACGAGGTTAATCAGCAGATAATTACAATGAATATAATTGGTAAGCACTCGACAAACTACGCGTGATCACCTCTGAACTGCTCAGCAATTCTTGAATTAATTGTCTATTAGATAACGGTGTTGTTATCTACATAATTGAGGAAGCGGTGTGAGAAATGTTTGCACAAGAAATTGGTGAAGATTGTGATGTTTATTCTTCTAGTTTCAGGTACCTCTCGTGCAATGAAAATGAGCTTCTCATGTTCCTCGCTGCAACGTTCTGCAGATGGCATGGACTGCCAGGAGCACGCGAGGATACGAGTCGATCGACCTTACAATAGTCTCACTAAGAAAAGGTACGTCAAACTGTACGCCTGCAAGGCTTCTCATTCTCTTCATCTATGCACGGAATATATATTGCCAAGTGGGCAGTTTAATAATTATTTCCTTAGGAGTTAGTGTTTGACACATGAGAGAAAATTCGTTTCACAATAATTACGAAAATGTCATGGAAACGAATTTTCAATAATAATTATTTTGATTGTGTGTGATGCAACTGTCAAACATCATTGGGTGATTGACTAAATGTTTTTTATTTTTATATTTCGATTTTCAGGAAAGACCCAAACCAGGAATATTGCCCACGTACATGGATTAATCGCGATGACTGCAAAGATGACTTCTGGGCGGCCATTCGCTCAAATTATGACTACATCATGGATACAAATCTTATCGACAGTTGCAAGGTATAAACTGCTTTTCACGGTGCAAATAGCATCGTTCGGAGGAACTTTCATTGATTTTAAGGGCCGAAAATTTTGTCATGTGCTACAACTCCAAAATCTGCATAATGTGTTATTGAAAATGTTGAAAGGCAGTTATTACAATTGAAACCATAAGGGAACCAAGGAATTTACAGTTTTTCGTTCCTATTTTTTTCCTAAGCTTCTAGATTATTTCATTATATTATTACCACTTCCTGGTCGAATATCTCTATAATTTATTGAAAATTAAAAAAAAATTTTCCGATTAAGTAGGGGGAGAATACTCTTAGACGGTTCTAATTCTGCCCTACTTCCAATTGAAGACTAGTGACACATTGAAAGTTTGATTTGTTCTTAATTTGAAGTAACTCTCAAGAGTGATAACGGAAATTTGATTTTTGTGGTTAAAGGAAGCCAATGGAGAGCTCGTTTGGGACGAGGGGGACGTATCGACCCTCTCCTGGGGTCTCAAGGAGGTCAGCTGTCAATTCTCTGAGCTGTACACATGGCTAGGTGTTTTGCAGGAATTGGTATACTCGAAAGAAGAGAATCTCTTGGATAAGAGTCTTCGTGCTGTAAGTTGAGGCCATTTGGTTGCCATGCTAAAAAATAAAAAAGGTGAAAATGCCATCGAATGATATTTATTGATGCAACAAACTGGTATTTCAGACTCACATGGAGGAGTTGCAACGTAAGGCATATAGGAGAAGACTGTTCAACGATCAGGCGGTCAAACTTGTGGCTCGTTCACCTTCGTTGAAAGACGAAGTTGCCTGGCGAGTCGATCATCTCAATGCCAAGTGGGAGCTCGTCGAGCAGATAATGGCACCTACACAACCGGCATCCGATCAAGACGTCTCAGCAGGTAAATTATCATCTACCATATTTCTTCCTCTGGCAGAGCTCTGTAACCATTCATTTTCCCTAACGTCTTTAAAATGAGAATAAACAATTTCCCTCCGAGAAAAATTAGTGGAAATATTTTGTCAATCTTCGTGGGGAGGATGTACATTATACAGGATGTCCAATTTGACAAGAGATTTTTAGAGACATAAGTTGTAGGGTTCTGAGGGAGACATTTGGTGGATGCATGTTTTTAATCTTTCAAGATCATGCTTCCAAGCTACAAGTACAAAGAGTTTCTTTTCAAGTACTGATGAGTTTGTTTGAAAATGAGTTTTGGTATCAAACTAAAGATGTAGAAAGAACTTTTTTTTCAAAGAACTGTTGCTTAAAAGCTCAAAAATTCAAGCCAATTAATTATTGCGACATGGACCAAATAATGTAGAAATTTCTAACATCAAGTATTGAAAAAAAAAAAGCACTGCGTATCTAATCTCAACTTTTTATTTTTCAAGACTTCGAGCATGAAGTTAAGTGTCTGAGGAAATGGCTCAGAGAAATGGAGTCCAGATTACAGCCATTAAGCTTCCGCATTGACTGGACAAGATCTGAACTTGAGGAGAAAGCAACTGAACACATGGTAAGTCAGAAAAACTTGGATATATTTTTTTTCGGTAGCAATTTTCAGTTTCGGTGAATGACGGTTTTATCTTGAAATTCGAGAGGGTAATCCACAGTATGACACGGTTTTGGTCCTCCATTTAAGTCTGTAATTTAAGGCGAATCATAGAATGGTATGAGAAGAAGACGTGACTATTCTAAATTCTCGGGATTGGGCACTAACACAAACGTGTGTAGATGGAACGCACCACTTAGCTATTTTTAGTATTCTCTCTCGTTCTGCATGACTTTTGGCTTTGACAGTCATTCAAGTAATAGTAGCACATTTGCAGCTAATCATCATCAATCATTTTTTGAATGCTATGAGCCAAAATAAAGGAAAATAGAGGATAATCGACAAGCTATTGCCGTATAAAACAACGACCAATTCTCGAGCTCACAAATAGCTAAAAGAATTATACATTCTTTTCACCTATATACTTTCAAAGCCGTAAAAATTCAAAAATATAAGTGAACGTGAAAAAGAATTCAAGGCAAGTGTAATAATAGACGAGAATGTTTTCTTTTGTGGTTCGTTGCCCTTCGAGTCACGGGCACCCTCCGATGGATAGATATTATTTCCTACCATTAAAATAATAATATCTTGTTGTCGTTGTTAAAAATGTCATTTTTTCTTAATATTTCGAAATATTTCGAATAGATTTTAATGATTTTATGAGAAACAATATATAATGACAAGATAAAAATGTGTCGAAGAATGAGAAGAGTTCATAGAGGTACGAATCACACCCGCATTCCAGTAATCGTTTGATCTCGCTTTCCATCTCCTCCGTTTGAAGTGAAACACAATGATCAATCGTTGAAATCGTCTTTAGCCGAGCCACAAATCCCAGGCAAATACTTTGACGCAGAGTCGACAGAACATAAAGAGTGTGAAGAGAATTTTTCTCTACAATGACGACGACAGCCCTTTTGACTTACCACAAGAGGCACTAATGATTATCATTGCTCGTTAAATGTTCAGTTGAACACGAAATACTATCAATACTTTCCTCTTTTTTTTCCATCTTTTTTTAACTAAAACTCATATTTTGATAAATGGCATTGACCGAAAAGAAATACTGGAATCGAATCTCCGGATGAATAAATCATTGACAGCAGACATGTTTGGTGGGCTCGAAGCATTGAACGAATCTAATACGTTCATACAAGTACAGTTAATCAAACTCAATGTTTTTCAATGCCCTGAACCCATAGCTGTACCACCTCCAATTACCCCACAAAAATACCAATGAAACAAAATTATCTTCGATGAAACATCAGTTTCCACGAAGAGTTGGATTGATCAGTCAATCGAGCATGATGGCAGGAGGTCCGTAAGAACAGGCTCAGGATCATGATGATTTTGCCATTGGGAGATAAAGATAAAAAAAAAGGTATTATGGTTTCATAACAGTGCGTTGGAAACGGTAGTTGAGACATCTGGGCCGCGGCTAATTGTTTTCTCAGTAAAACGTCGAGGTTTTGTCGTTAGGATTTAACTCGTGATGTACAGGGTGTACCGCTACATATCGTGTTTTTTGATGCGTTATTATTTGAAGCCTCGCATGGGTAATCGATCGTCTCATCCTCATTATTTTAGACCAAAGAATAAAACCACACGTTTCCCCTTGAAAATTCAAACCGCAGTCGTCTTAAATCATTCTACAATAAATGTTACATTACTCGACTCTCCATAAAGTATTCCGTTATTTCTGTGGCATTATTATGTCCCTTTTGTGACATGTAAAACGACAAACGTTGCTATTAAAATAGTATTTCATCTACCACAAGTTTACAACCCCAATGACCCGTCACGTCCTTGTGAAAAAGTAACGAGCGTCGTCGAAGCTCCGGCTGTCTTCCAACTCCAACTTCAACTCCACCTTCACCTCTAGTACTGCAATATTATTCTCTCCCCTTTTTCCAACTGTAAATTTACGAATACATAATTAATATAGGATAGAACCAATCCGTGTCTCCGTGTCGGCATTTGCTTTTGATCGTGAGGTAGAATTATGCCGTGATTTGAGCAAATTTATGACAATTTACTTGTAAAATTTGGAATTAAATATCATGGCTTTTCAATGGCAAATTAATTCACTCGAAGGAACGATGCATTTGATAAATAAAAAAAAAACTTCAAATGAATCATTCAGTTGAAATGATTTAATTAGGGTTCATTGGAAAAAGTTTAATTTCTCGGCTACCCAAGTGAAATGATGCACTTTTTGTTTAATCTAGTCAATCATTTTACCCGACACGTCATTTAAACCCTGTAATTATCGATGCTCCCTCGAAACGCACGTGTCGCCCTCATTTTCAATGGGACAACATGTAATTTTGTGGTTTTCACAATTTTCTGAGCAAATTCAAAGATCCGGTTGCGTGTCACTTACCCAAGTGGTTAATTAATGGATCTCAGAAGATTCAACTTTAAATGACCCATTGCATGGCTACTTTCTCAGCAGGCCGTGAAATGGTTAGCCCTGATTTTAAACTGATCTTTAACAATCCTTCATCTCAACCATTGGCGAGAATAATGGAGAGACGAATTGTTTTCATTACATACTGTACGTGAGTCCTAGTTTCATCCACCACTACAGTCGAAAACTTACGATCGTGTTACTCTCGAGTAGTTACTCCTGTACCAACAACTTCCTCGTGATAAACACATTGAGTGTACTTTATTGTTGAAGAATGTTCACCTCTTGACATCAACTTGTACCTCTATTACGATTTATCACAATGTATCCCACTGAAAGAGATAGAGAATAACCAATGAAAATACCAGAGAGAAGGTAAAGAACAATAGCTGAGAATTTCGTGTCACTTTGCAGATGTACTTAGCCACCAATTTGTGATTATTCCCGAGTGAGAAAATACCGTTTCTCTTATCTTGAGTTGTGAATTTAGCCGATTGTTAGTGCTTGGGAGAAAGAGGAATAAGGGGCTATAGGTGAAGGTTAACTTAATTTCAGTGATGTGCCTCCACCTTCACAATCACTACAGTCAAACCATTCCTCTCAGCTATTATTTACCACTGTAAATCTAAGGTCCAGTTAGTGAAATAATATTAGCACGTTATTTTTCACCAATCTTCATGGTTAGTCTGCTGATTATTTCATATATTCATTAAAGTCAGGAAAAATAATTAGATAAATCAGCCGATATTTCGCTGATTTTCGTTTCAATTAAAAGAACTCTGTGTAGTTGACGATTAATGAGTGAGTGAAAAAAAGTTGAGGTGTTTGGCATAGAATTTTCTACTTTGAGTTCTACTTTGATTTGAAATAATGAAAATACGGATAGCTATCTCCCAATGAGCATTCACACAAAATTCAATCCTCTTGATGATCGTTACATAATGTAGCTGTTGTGTTCCGGTGGTGCGTTATAGAAGTTTCAATTCAACTTTCACTATAGGTACAATGAAAAACGGAGGCGAAGATAGAGGAGTTGATTTTATTCTAGCGTCATGCTGTACATACAAGATTACTGCGTGACTCACGGTAGGAACAATGGTCCAGCGATGAAGAATCCGTTAAAGGCGAAACAGTAACCAGCATCCACTCGAAGAGAGAGGAGAAAACCAATTGAAACAATTACTGCCGAGGGGTTTATGTTTGTCTTATATCTTTACGAGGGAGCGAGATTATTCATCCAATAGGCTATTGCAACGATTGCCTGCGTTTGTCTCAATCTATAAATTTTTATTTCCTCAGCTTAGATATTTTGTAAGAGTAGAGAACGTTCACCTGATGTTGAGCTAGGATGAAATAGTGGAATTGATTCGAGTCACGTCTTAGGAAATTTGTCATGCGAATCGAAATATTTTTTTCATTGTCTTTTCCTTCATTTTTCCTCATTTCGTTTCTTCGTACTGTCCTTTGGTTTCTGAATTTCTTTCAGCATCGCCTCTCCGACTTTTTTTTTTTTTTTTTTACAACGTCTAGGGACTGTATGGGCACAGCTCGAATTGTAACCACAGTAGGAGGCTGAGAAAAAAGTTAATAGGATCGGACAAACCGAGTGATTGTCCCATCAGAGTGGACGGAATTATGGGATTGGCGGAGTCAGACAATGACCTGAAGAGTTGTCAACGATTGTGGCAACCGAGGGAGTGTTTGTCTTCTATCAGTTTGAAGCTCCATGTTGAGAGATTGTTCCACAAGTCTATCCATTGAATTTTTCTTTATGCTCGCAGCCCTCGAATCAACTCGCGCTTTTATCCAAATTATTGCAAACAATTTCAATCTATAATGTTGCAGATAGTTGGTAATCTTTCACAAAATTCAAATTATCCTCTTACCACTGAAAATTATTTCCGTAATTATTGAATTATGAGACTCTTGAGAATAAAGTGCTTGGATTTGTGAAAAACTGGAAATTGTTATACAACGATGAATAGTTGTTGAGAAATTTGCAAAAGAGCAATACATCCTTAAAAGTCTTGCCATAACACCAAAATTGGAAAATCTAGTAGTAATCCAATGAGTACATTCTCCCTGGCAAATCCGTTGAAATTTATTTCCACGAAATTGCAACACGTTTGTCAGTTTCGTCACTTTGCCTTTTTCCCAGCAATTTTGATTCATCTATTATTCCACATCTTCCGCGGACATCTGAAATAACCCAGACAATGATTTTACAAGTTACGCTCTCAATATAATGATGAAATGAGAGCAGTCTTCATTAGTGTCTTGTTAACTCAACATAACTAAGAGTTCTCAACAATTCTCTTGAGCTGTATTACTCGATCCCAAGCGTACAGATGTAAAATGTATTATTTGCTCTGCTGTCATAATAAACCGAAGATGTTTATTCATGAGTGCGCATAAGGGAAAAGTTTTTATAATATATTTTTTTATCTTCCAAAGTGGCCCAGTGGTTTCAGTGTGCAGTGAAACGCTAGAGAAGTTAGAGGCAAGGAAACGATGGAAGGAGTTAAATGAAAGAAATAAAAAATCTAGGAAAATGAAGGAAAATAAAAATAAAAAGATATGTTCACAGCAGGTTACGAGGGAAGTTCTGTGGCACTCACTGCTCTGGTAAGAGCTATCGTGATCCTGCATCTTCCATTTCCTTTTCGTTCATGTTAACTCACAAGGATTAAAATTACGCGGATTCACGTGGTTGCACAGGCGGCTAAATCGCATTCGCTTAAATTTAATGATCAGAATCCATCAGGTGCATGAACAAAAAGCGATGCTCTTCCCCATGCTCCTTCAAAGATAAAAATGTGAATATTTTACCGCCAAAAAAATGATATTAAATTTAAATTTCACTGGAAAATTGTAAATTATTTAGACGGATTTTACCAGGTGATTACCAGGTGATATATGAGTGAGACTGTAACTCAATACGTCATGAGCTAATTGATTGAAAGTGGGTCTATAGGTTTTAAATAAAAAATGAAGTTGATGATAAAAAGGTGGGGGATACGATGGTAAAATGTAAATTTAGTAAGGGGGAGTATATGGTCTCCAAGATATTTATCAAAATGATGAATTTTCCCAAGATTATGACTTTAGCAATTATCTCTATATGTAAGAGTGCAGAATTACCTGAGAGACTCCAACAAAATAATAATAATAAATCAAGGAGGCATCGTGGGATCGGTACGAAAATTTTTTTTTCTCTAGGTCAGATAAATCCTTACACTTATTAGCCCTTAACATCTACCAAGAACAAGTTTGTGACGATAAAAATTATGACTTTTTTAAATATTCCACGCACCACTGGAGTAAATAGCTCATAAAAATAGCTCATCCCGCAGTTCATAACTCTTTTTCCTCTTCTCACGTTGAAAATATATTATGCAGGGTTATCTAAAAATGGCATAAACATTAATTTCTTTTTTGCCTCAATCTCCGTATTCGTTTAATATTATGTTAATCCTTTCGTTTTTCTTCATTATTATGAAATCCATTACAGTTGGCCAGCAGCAAGTGATGATTTGTTGGTCACGTTTTGAAAACAGTTTCCCGATCATACAAAAATGTGACACCACGATGGTAAATAAAAATAAACGGGAGAAATAACAATAAAAGGGAAGGAAGCGAAATGAAAGGATCAGGTAAAACCTGTAGCGATTGAAACGGTATTTTCATCCTTCACAATTGTCAGTACCACACGTGCGTGAATCTGCTCTCAGAGGAAACATAACGTGCTTCTACCTCCGGGACTAATCCTTAAGCCACCGTGTCTGCTATCCTATTTTCCATCTTTTCTATTTCTCCAATTTATGCAGGTTCAAAGTATAAATAAATAAATAATCAAGTATCTAAAATCATAATAAAGGGAGGAAAGAGGAGGTATGCTACCATTATTAATAAAAAAAAATTTCCAACACAATTTATTAGATAACACGAATCGAATTGTTCTATGATAATGGAGAAAGGGAGAAATAAAGGAATAAAATACAGATTCATTCCGTGGGATTTACTCAGCATCTCTCTGACTCGATATACAAAAGCACACAAAAGCCAATTTCCAATTGCCACTTACTTGATTTTATTTCCGGTGTGTTTTAAGACTGGGCAAACCACTGGTCAGTGATATGGATGTTTATCGCTTTTCAGAAATCGTGACTTGTTTCCACTTGGGGCGCATTTATGTGTGCGTACTGTGTAAACTCACTTGGTGGTAAACCCCTTGGTGCGGGTGAAATCAAGTGAAACAGAAGTGGTTTTGTCTTATCGACTGGTGGATATTTTTTCTACAAATTCTTTTCCCTCATTTCAGATCGCACATGTGAGAAGGTCTGCGCACAAATGTTTGTTTTGAATGAAGCAATTGTGCACGCCTTTTTCTTTGGCACACATTTCAGCGGCAATTGGTCGCCAGACGTGATTCAGACAGATAGTGGGAAATTTTTTCAATTTCGAGGGCGCGTTTCCAAAGAGAAAATCTTAAATCTTTCTTCTCCATCCCATAATGATGCTGTGATGAATGCTTGAGCATTTAGCAGGCAGTAATTATGGGCTTTGGATAGTCCACATGGTTGAAATTTTCTTCATTGTACTGATGGGGGAGAGAAAAGAAAGAATTATAAGAGACCAGTCATAAGTCTTGGTGGTTGATTTTTGTTTAGAAATTTAGTTTGCTTCTATTGAGATTCAAAGTTGAAGGGGAACTCTGCTCCATTTTCTCCTCTCCATTGTTCCACCCTGAAATCCCAACAAAAAGTAAAAGAAAAAAATATGGAAAAAAATGAGGAGTTTGGAACCAGGCACGTGCAGGCACACACGATTGTGGCCAATATCACCTGCGGCACATCTTTGCGTGTCTCAAAGCATTGGGCCTTCACACAAACACATCCACCATGAGCTCGTGATGATCGTGATCATTGTGCAGGTGATTCCAGTCTCCCCTCTACACTTTTTTTTATTTCCTTTGGTGCAAGCATTTTCGGAACTCTTGAACCGTGGGGGCCTCACCTTATACCTCTGGTCAAAATCCATCAAGTATTGTTGAAGAATCTGTTTATTATTCTCCAGTCGAACCGTTGAAACTGAAACTCAAACACTGAGAATAAAAGCAGGATTATCTTTTGACTTGTATGACAAATAGGCTGATGTCATCGGCATCATTCTCTGGTAAATATGATGGGATTAATCTCTCGTGGGTACACCAAAGCGCAAATTATAAACAGCTATCGTTCGACGCTTTCTATATCTCCAAGAGGAAAAAGGGCGTATAACAAAGGATTCTTTATGTTTCTTTATGTTGGTAAAAGTAAAAGCGGATATATGCCACAAATGGCCTTTTGTTCAAACAGCAACTTTCCCGAACTCTCCTGAACTTTTAACTTTTAGCCAATTTTTCAAAATCAATGCAAATTAATCAAAATATTTCAAATCTGACAAAAAATCTTCCCTACTCGTTTACCTTTTTTTTTCTATTCAAGTGCTATATCCACTTTTATATTTTGTTTGCATTTTCTTTTATTTATTGTAAAAACGGTTCAAGGAAAAAAAAACGTGAAAATTGTATTCCTAGAAGGAGTAAAAAAAATGTTGGGAAAAAGCCATGGAAAAATAATGGATTCCCAAAAATGGTAATTTCAGTAAAAGCGAAGGGCAAAGAGAAAAATTTCTCTCATGTTTTCCTCTTCTGAGAATGCACCCAAGCAAATAAAGATAAATCTATCAGAGTTTTCCTGCCGAAAAAATATATTTTATCGCTCATGGCGAACGGTTCTGAATCGCTGAAAAGGGTCCTAGGGTCCGTTGTGCCAGCGAAGGACGTCTTACCGGTTCCCAAATGCCCCTCTGCAAAAAAGAGGAGGGGAGAATCCCATTCCCCATTGCCGTCTACCGAAGAGAGACAAGAAACATCCTCCAAGAGAAATAAGAAATGGATGAAATAAGAAAAGAAGAAAAAAAATGCGAAAGACAAAAAGGAAATAACGAAAGCAGCAGGCAAAGGCAAAGGCAAAGGCACGTACTCGTCGGGTAGATCGGAGCAGTGCCGATGTTTGCCGAGGGAAAGACTTCGGTTGTCTACGTTCATGGATCATGGAAGGGGGCAAAACTCTTGTGAAGTGATCCAACGATCCAACACATAGAGTCGAGCAGAGTT